TAAATGTGATATGCTATGAAAGCACAGATGATAAATTCACACAGGAACTAATTGCAAACACTGAATATTTGAAAGAACTACTGTATTCATAAATCAATAGTGTCAGCATTACTATTGTAAATAAATCTGCTGCATCTTTTACAGTAAATTGTGGCATTTTACCACTAAGCTTACATCCACAATTCATTACCATTATCTAATTACATTTGGTCATATCGGAACTCAAAGATCACTACCGGTAATTTTTTAGTTAGCGATTTGTTATTTCTAACAGATGATGTATTAGTTGGTGAAGTGGTACAGAAGGACAACTGAATCATAAACATTGTAAAAAAGGGCAGGATACTCACGTTTACATATGTAGTCTGTGGCCTGGTACACAGCATACAAGGTGTGGTTGAGTATGACACGTTCATGGTAAGAGAGACGTAGTAAGTTTTTCTGTATACATGTCCATGCAGCTTTCACATCTTCACATAAACCTGCTAACTCTTTGTTAACTCCACTTCCTGCAGCTGATCCGGAAGACTGTCCACTTCCTGCAGCTGACCCGGAAGACTGTCCACTTCCTGTAGTAGGTCCTGAGTTAGATCCTGCAGCAGATCCTGATTTTGATCCTGATTTTGATCCTGAATTTGATCCTGCAGCAGATCCTGAATTTGATCCTGCAGCAGATCCTGATTTTGATCCTGAATTTGATCCTGAATTTGATCCTGCAGCAGATCCTGAGTTAGATCCTGAATTAGATCCTGGGTTAGAATCGGCAGATCCTGAATTTGATCCTGCAGCAGATCCTGAGGCAGAATCAGCAGATCCTGATTTTGATCCTGAATTTGATCCTGGGTTAGAATCAGCAGATCCTGAGTTAGATCCTGAATTTGATCCTGCAGCAGATCCTGAGGCAGAATCAGCAGATCCTGATTTTGATCCTGAATTTGATCCTGCAGCAGATCCTGAGGCAGAATCAGCAGATCCTGAATTTGATCCTGAGTTAGATCCTGGGTTAGAATCGGCAGATCCTGAGTTAGATCCTGAATTAGATCCTGGGTTAGAATCGGCAGATCCTGAGGCAGAATCGGCAGATCCTGAATTTGATCCTGAGTTAGATCCTGCAGCAGATCCTGAGGCAGAATCAGCAGATCCTGAATTTGATCCTGAGTTAGATCCTGGGTTAGAATCGGCAGATCCTGATTTTGATCCTGCAGCAGATCCTGAGGTAGAATCAGCAGATCCTGAGTTAGATCCTGAATTAGATCCTGGGTTAGAATCGGCAGATCCTGATTTTGATCCTGCAGCAGATCCTGAGGTAGAATCAGCAGATCCTGATTTTGATTCAGCAGTGGATTCTGTGCTTGCACTACCAGCAGACCCTTGCCCTGATCTACTGTCGTCACTTACTGTGCTTCCAGCTGACCCACTTTCTGCTGACCTAGTGGCTAGCTCCAGTACTTTTGAGACTTTAGTCTCAAAACTGCTGATACAACCATAGATATCTGTTACGTCAGGGTCAACTTCCTCCCCTCCATCATCACCTCCATCATCACCTTCATCACAGTATGTTCCTATGATCTGGAGTGCAGCATAATACTTCTGAGTTACCTGGTAGACATCTGTTTCTGAACACTCTTCAATGTTGTCATCTATGCATTGTTTCACTTCTGCACGCATACTGCAATGTTATCAAAGTTTTATTTCTGTACTGATTATCATCATACTTACACAATAAATTTACTATACAACACATCACTATTTCAGATAGATGCTCTCAAATGACCAACATACATGTACTATTGTTGAATGTCAAAGATAGAAGTATTTCTTCATTAAGAATCCTTTCCATTATTAAATCAAAAAAAGTATTATAACAATGAAGCCTCTAAAGTGAAAACATCAGACATTTTTGTTTTGGGTCTTATGACCTTGATTGTAAGCCATGGTACAAGAAAACTGAAGTCTTTACCTCATCCATACTTAATAATGACGATCAAAATATAATTTGTTCTTGTATCAGAGTTTATTAATCATGTGACTGAATTAGAGAGCAATTCAACTAAATCTCAGTGTGAATATCTTATCAAAACTTGTTGTGAATATGATATTGATCCTCAGTGTGAATATCATATTAAATCTCTGTGTGAATATTGTAACAAAATAGGGTTTAGGTATATTGTTACAAAATGTGGTTTCGATATTAGTGTAACCCAGATACATAAGTCAATAATCTTTGACTGATTGGTTGAAATAAGTAAGCTTAAACAATAGTTTGTTTAATGTTCAATAGTATATCAATGTAACCCATATAGGTGGTTCACAGAGGTATAGATAATTACTTGCATACATACACTTAGGTTGGTGTAGTCTTGGCCCCGAGAATCTTATCAGTGGGTGTACAGCTTCGGCCAGTTAATTAATTAGAGACTATTCCCACTTCCTTGATAATCAAACTTATGTAATTTACCATTCGGACAGTGACCACCTTGTAGTAGGGTAATTATTAGGGTCTATTTCAAGTAACAAATTAGCAGGAAGAAACTCAACCTTGCACCTCAAGTACAGGTGGCTATACTTCGTATCATCTAGCAGCAAGTGAAGTCCATATTAGGGGATGGCCGGACAAGCTTAGTCCAGAGTTAGATAAAAGGGGGGAGATCTTTAGGTTAGAACACACGGCCTTGGGGGAGTCCACCAGATGGACAGTTCTGATATGAGGCACAACATGAAGTACTAGTATGAGTATATGAACTCTTATGTTGACGAGATGTTGCTTTTGTACATGTAAAATTATTATCATTCAACATGCAATAAACATGGCTATTACCAACAGGTACGTGTTTATGCCTACTGTGTTACAATATCATATTAAAGTTCAATATGAATATAATTTTAAACCTCAGTGTGAATATCATATTAAACCTCAGTGTGAATATCATATCCTCAGTGTGAATATCATATCCTCAGTGTGAATATCATATCCTCAGTGTGAATATCATATTAAACCTCAGTGTGAATATCATATTAAACCTCAGTGTGAATATCATATTAAACCTCAGTGTGAATATCATATCCTCAGTGTGAATATCATATTAAACCTCAGTGTGAATATCATACTGATCCTAAGTGTGAATATCTAATCAAGCTTTAGTGTGAATATGTCAATATAACTTTTGTGAATATCATATTTAACTTCAGTGTGTGTATCATACTGATGCTCAGTGTGAACATCTTATCAAACCTCAGTGTGAATATCCTATTGATGATACTTTAAAGGATTTTTAGGGAAAGACTTCTGCTGATTTGGACTAAATAAGAATAGCTTATAACAGGAGAGCATAATTCCCATGAAATGTTACCATAAATTTGACCTCTGAATTCTTGTTACATTGCAACAATGCCAAAGTTATAGAAACATAGCATTTCAATGAATCGATGTCTTTTTCAGTTTCCAATATTCATTAGTGACTCTCTTATAAAAGATGTGATAAAAATTATACATAAAATTGTATACAAGTCCAAACCTGCATATAGCACTGTCCATCTCGGAGCTTTCGTCACTTAATTTGACCTTAAGCTTGTCGACACATTCTTCAGCTCGGTGTATCTTACAGTCGCTAGGTGGTGGTTGGCATGGTGACTTAATTTCCACATCACATGTATCTGTGGCCTTAAATGACTTTACAGTCTCCAACCCTGACAGAACATTCCTCCTTATGTAACTAGGACACGCATTGATGTTGCTATAGATACTCTGCAGGGAATTGGCATACTCTCTAGAAACAATGAAAAGAGGGATGTTAAAGGACATTTTCTTCAGGTTGGTAATGTCAATGGAATTGAAATTCTTATAACACAACTGGTAGAAGATTTAAGGGTGATGTTTTGATGACTACACGGTCTCCTTCATCGGACCAATGACCAGTGTAGAGTATACTAGCACTAACTTACATATTGTCCGCGATGGTACACTACGTACACTTGGCTACAAAGTGTAGCCAAATTGTAAGTTCGACTACAAAGCGTAGCCAAATTAACTGCAGTATATGGTTACGATATGGTGTATATATTTTTGGTCTATAATCCGTTTATCTCCTTGTCAAACTATTTTGGACCTTAGTGTACATAGGATTATTGTGCAGCCGAAAAAGTTGCTTGATCCTGAACCATCTCATTGGTTGTGCAATAAGAACTTCTATTCTAGGGATGTTAAGGTTTCCTATCTAAAAACTATACAGTTATAATGAAACATCCAAAAAGCCACGTGTATTGACAGTTGACATGAAAGTGATATTACTTAGAATGGCAAATCAACACACAACTTAGATCATAGATTTTATTTTGAATTTGTTTTAGTTTTGTCCACATTTGTCTCTTTACTTATAGTCGTGTACTAAACAAAGCTTCATGTCCTCAATATATCCTTCATAGTGAAGCCTCACGGAACTAACTCTATATAACAACACTTACACAACATTAACTATGTAGACACCTGTCTGTCTACACTATACAAGATCTATATTATATTATTTTATACATAGATCCTGTGCATTTTCTTCCTTTAACCACTATTCACAAATTCGTCTTGTGCTCATTTCACCCTCTGTGAATTATTTAACAGGATTACAAAAGTGTGATAAATTTTCTCCCTCATCTCAAATTCATCCTCCCTCTCGAAAGGTCCTGCTGTATTGTGACATCACAATGCTTATCCGCACTGTTCCATCTTTTGGCTGGTCTCATTACTGGGTTTATTCCATTGTATAAGAAGAGGAATGTCACTCATTATAACTTAACACCTTATCAATATTACTCAAATTATTGCTGGTAACTTAACAAGAACTAATAGAGTATTTTCTGAATGTAATTAAAGTTGGTATAATTACAAGCCTCCTGCTTAAAAAACCTCATAAACATACTAAAAAATCAACTCTAGTGTGTTTACTGGAAGATCTGCCATCTTTAAAATGAGCTTTGTGCCATGTATATCTTTGAACTACACTGTATACTTACACACACAGCCTTTGTTGCGAGCCATAAGGATTGAAGATCTCCTCAAACAAATTGCTTAAACTCTGGAGGGCTTTTACATGGTTACAGCGATATCCGGTCATTTCCAATGGGTCAACACATATGGGAGGTGGTGAGGGGTAGACAGTGTCTTTTGGCTCCATGTAGTTCTCATGACACATCCTTAGGGCATAGTGTATGACATTGTTCATAGTTATGGACATGGCTGTGTTGATTGGATCAGTGCAGTCATAGAGGTAGTGATGGTAACAGTCTGTAGAATGTTTGGCGAGTCTGAAAAATAGAACAGTATGGAATAGTGAACAATCCTAATTAATAGACATGTCACAATCACTTTATTGTCACGTTACATCCTATTAACAGCCACAGTCATTTAAGGACATGCCAGGTTTGGTTGGTGGAGGAAAGCTGGAGCTCCTGCAGAAAAACCATTGACTGCAGCCAGTACTTGTCGACTGCCCGAAGTAGGTCTTGAATCTGTGACCAAGAAGTGGGAGGGGTAGTGAAAGAGATGGCCTGAAGCCATGACCATTTGGCTACTGTTGAATCATCACAATTAGTTCAGGGTCTAATCTACCTTTCATGGTGTTGGCATCTGTTTAATATTTATAAAGAGAGTAGATTAACACTCAAGTGTTACCAGTATGAGGAAGATGCTGTTGGTTTATTTGGTCAGGTAGTTTTACCTCTATTGCAAAGGCTTCATTGGGACAATTTTGCTACAGGTGGATATAGATCTGTTAAAAAATTATATAATTTCTCTGAAAACTGGATAAGCTATATGATGATATATAATACACAGACTGTGAAACTATGCATTTATAAACAGGTGACTATCTGTTGTTAGAAAGTGCAAACAAACCATTTCAGTAGGGAAGCACTGTATGGAGCTACCTAATCATAATATACAGTGTCGCCAACCTTCTGTATAATAATATCTAGCCATACCTTCTAAAATCAAGGTTGACAAGATAATTTAAAGGGTTATCAGGTAATTTTACTGAATAGCTATCACATATCAATGTGTTAAGATAATGTTCTATGGTATGTTTGTTTATTTTGACTACATTAGACAAAAAAAAGAGGCCTAGCGACCTTGACAGTTACCTGAGATAAGTAATATTGAATATAAAGGTTAAAGTGTTACAAAGTAGCTTTCAAGTGTCCTGAAAAAAATTGTGACCTTGATGATAGAAAGCTAGTGTCAATACATGCATACCATCAAAACTGTCATCCTATACTTGTAATTCTTTTCCAGTGGGAAATAAACAACGTTAAGCTCAAAAATGCAATTTTTCTATAAAAATCACAGTGAAGTTAACCTCCTCCCCTGGAAGAAATGCAAGATTTATTTTGTTGAAGCATCAATGAAGAGCATTTGATTCTACCATACCTGGGTGTTGAAAAAAAGATTTTTTGAAATTTGAGTAAATTTCATACTTTTGGCCCCATGGTGACTTAAAAGTTCAATTTGAAACTTTTAACCAAAAGTAGAGAAATATTATGTAATTTTAGCATTTTTCAAAATTTAAGTTGATAATTTTATTGCCAATATCAGTGATGAAATCAGGTGAGTTGGCAACACTTGATTATAGATGTAGTTACAGAAACAATTTACTGTATAGCTAACCTGCAGATATCACCTCTGTCTCTACTTGTTTCATAGTAAGACAGATCCATGCCAAGTCTGGCTATACACTCCCAAGCCTGATGGGGAGAACAGGATATCCGATCTTCTTCCTCGTTTTCTCCATCCGCCTCCTCACAAACACCACTATATGAGATGACTGAGCTACCTATATCATATAAATGCTTGTACTGGTTTTGAAGCCTTGTGGAACAGTTCCTCATGCCATCATAAATACAAGTGTCCAAGGATAAAGAACTCCTGTAAAGTAAATTAATTAGGTCACATGATTAAAGAAGGAAGTGTTCAAACTAGAAAATGGATGGATGAAGAAGGCTGAGACAAAACAACAACAATTCAGATGTGACCAACATTTTCAATTAGGGGCATTTCAAGCTGCAGACACTATTGTTAATTTTGCGATTTGAACACGGACTACATCACATAAAAGCTTTGTTCTGTATTTCATGATGAAATCAGAAATATAAAGGGACAGAACTGATATGTTGATTCTCTTAAACTTATAATTCTTTACGAAATGTTTGGCGCTTTCAAAATATTTGATTCTTGTGATCATCAAAAGCAGGTCAAGGTAATTTATAACAGGAAACTCCAATTTATACTACCCTATGTCAAGTTAAGAACTGCTTGCCAGGTGTACCCATTATCAAGCCCCTGGACCATATAGAGCTATTCATTTTGTCAATGGTCAATTGATTAAGAAAGTAATCAGTTGTCTTTACTTTCCGACACATGTAGAGGAAACAGAACAAGCATTGCAGATTCCTTATTTTGTATCCTGAAATAAAGCTAACAATAAATACATGCTTGTTTATTACAGTTCTGTATAGCTAGGTTAATAAAAGAAATGAAATTAAGAATTTTAATGAAAAAAAAAAACATGATAAAAACAATGTTAATATTCAAAGGATTTGCCCTAACTATTTCATGGATTGATAAAAACTTCATGTCAGTGTGTATACCTGCAGAGCTCTTCTCGGTCATGATTGCGAAACAGTCCAATAAACATGGCATTTGACAGGTAAGAACCCATGCACCTCACTACATCCTTCTGAAGACAATCATCTGTTTCTGTGGTTACATCTATAGTAAACAAAACAGACTTTACTTAGCAGTGACAAGGAATGGTCAGTATTGCTGCATGTGTAACCAGCTCAGCAATGCTAGTTTATGATTGACGCAAAAAATTTTAATCTGAATATTTTCCTGAATTAACATCTAGTCTGTCAATTCTTGGTAAGTTTTCAGTATAATATTTGAGTGAAAGTTTGCATGTATGACACTGCTTATAGCAAAAGACTGTGGCTAGGGGTCACCGCTACATGACTGGAATATTTCCACCAATCAGAATGCTAGGATTGGTAGCAATAGGTCAAAAATTTAACTGTTACGTTTAGCCTAAAATCTGATATGTTAGTGGAAGTTTAAAATACTTTACATTCACTGATTATTTAATATCTGAATGTATAAGAACAGCTGAAATCTTGAGTGTAAATTGAAAATTTCTTTCATTTTTACATCAGTAACAGCAAGATACTCCAGGTGTGCAGACTCTCGTCAATGTATTTAATAAAATGAATTTCATGAAATTCTCCTTCTCTTTAATCCCTCTAGAATAAGTTGGAAGTTAAAAGCACGCATGACAAAGATCGAAATAATTCATTTTTTTTTCTACAATTGAAAACAGCAGTATCCATGTCATATCCAAATTAAATTCACTGTCAAATCACAGTAGAGGCATACATGTGTTCATGTAAAATGAAGGGATCAATATGACTTGTACATAGTGTTAAATACTGTCTCTGTCACAAAATTATGATGACCAGAACATAAGCTTGATAATCATGTCAGGAATCCAGACTTGATTCATGAAGAAATATGTTTTTCCTTAATCGTTCTCATTAGTATGGAAATGTCAATTTCTTAATGTAGCAATTAATAAAAATGATTGACTGGTTTCTTGTCTATTATTTAAGAGACGAGATCCATGTACAAGTTCGAGAGGAATGACCTTTATCCCACACTCAACAGTTCAGTGTTAGCCTGGCTGCCCATCAAGAACAGTTCTAAGGATGGACTGGTACCTAGATAAGGTACACTATATTTAACTACAATTATCCATGTCAGTCTGGCAATGGTGTAAGGTCCTCTGAAGAACAGGAACAGATATTTTGCAGACAATATTGTACAACTATATATCAAATTACTGTTTCATATTTGCATCCGTTATAGAGTAACTAAGTTATGACAGAACGACAGCTAAGGTTACCACTAGCATATGCCCGACCATAAAATGGCTGGTACACGAAAATCTATGAATATCATACATCACCACTTACCAGGACTTGCTGCGACACAACTGTATGTGATTCGTGCATATTTGTAAGTGTTTACACATGGGTCTCCGGTCACTGAGTTACTGGCTGTCACATTACAGGTGGTTTTATTGGAGCAAATTTCCTTATATCTGTCGAGAGCTACTGGGGAGGAGCAAGCTGTATCTGTTAAGGGCTTGTTAGGGAGGGAACATGTGATTCTGTCTTCTCTTCCATAAAATGCTTCCTGGATATCAATAACCTCTCCCTCAGGACATTCAATGGTTTTAGTGAAATCCTCACAGATGACAATCTCTGAACCTGTCGCACAAAAAATATCCTACATGTAGAAGATTTCTCATCTTTAAATCTAAAAGTGGATGACAAATTTACTTAGACTGATGTAGACCAAAAATTGAAATGTGATTGCATGAGGCAAAAGTTTTGGCTGGTGTAGATGAAGATGACAAATTTATTCAGCAGATTATGTAGACCTGCAAACATGGAAATGTGACTTTTAAAGGGTAAAAGTTTTGACCTGTGTTGTACATTGTGTACTTTCCATCCCATCCAATCATGATAACATTAACCAAAGATATCAATAGGAAATAACATACCAACCAAATAAATTACACATTCAGTAGCATTTGACCTCTCCATGACCTTTACTTTTAGGATACCAACCAGGCGTATTACACATTCAGTAGCATTTGACCTCTCTATGACCTTTACTTTTAGGATACCAACCAGATATATTACACATTCAGTAGCATTTGGCCTCTCCATGACCTTTACTTTTAGGATACCAACCAGATATATTACACATTCAGTAGCATTTGACCTCTCCATGACCTTTACTTTTAGGATACCAACCTGACGTATTACACATTCAGTAGCATTTGACCTCTCCATGACCTTTACTTTTAGGATACCAACCAGACGTATTACACATTCAGTAGCATTTGACCTCTCCATGACCTTTACTTTTAGGATACATAGTTGATATGCATTTAATCTAGTTTCTAAATAACAGACTAATGTTATACTAAAAGCTATCCCTGTGAATTTTTTTACACAATGCTGGTTATCTACTAGTAACTAAAAACATCTGTTCAAGTAAGCTTTAGAGAAAATATATATATTTTCTTATGTCTCTTCTGGGGAAAAAAGAAAAGCAAACATTTTATTAACTTTAAGATGTAACATATATCTCCAAGTATTACTTAGTTAATATACATGTTATGAAATTAATGAATGATTTATACTCAGTGTCCATATGGACATTCGCAATACTCCTGGGGTTACAATAACTTTCCCTCTCTGTATACACGATACTCCTGGGGTTACAATCACTTTCACTCTCTGTATCCTCGATATTGCAGGGGATACAATTACTTTTTCTCTCTATATCATCGATACTCCAGGGGTTACAATCACTCTCTTTCTGTATCCTCGATACTCCAGGGGTTACAATCACTTTTTCTCTTTGTATCCTCGATACTCCAGGGGTTACAATCATGTTCACTCTCTGTATCCTCGATACTCCAGGGGTTACACTCACTTTCGCTCTCTGTATCCTTAATAATCCAGGGGTTACGATCACTTTCACTCTCTGTATCATCGATACTCCAGGGGTTACAATCACTTTCGCTCTCTGTATCCGCAATACTCCTGGGGTTACAATCATTTTTGCTCTCTGTATAAGTGATACTTCAGGGGTTACATTCACTTTCGCTCTCTGTAGCCTTGATACTCCAGGGGTTACACTCACTTTCGCTCTCTGTATCCTTAATAATCCAGGGGTTACATTCACTTTCGCTCTCTGTATCCTCGATACTCCAGGGGTTACACTCACTTTTGCTCTCTGTATCCTCGATACTCCAGTGTTACATTCACTTTTGCTCTCTGTATCAGTGATACTTCAGGGGTTACATTCACTTTCGCTCTCTGTATCCTCGATACTCCAGGGGTTACACTCACTTTTGCTCTCTGTATCCTCGATACTCCAGGGGTTACAATCACTTTTGCTCTCTGAATCCTCGATACTCCAGGGTTACAATAACTTTCCCTCTCTGTATACACGATACTCCAGGGGTTACACTCACTTTCACTCTCTGTATCCTCGATACTCCAGTGTTACATTCACTTTTGCTCTCTGTATCAGTGATACTTCAGGGGTTACATTCACTTTCGCTTTCTGCTCTCTCCAGGGTAACTTTCCCTCTCCTCGATACTCCAGGGGTTACACTCACTTTCACTCTCTGTATCCTCGATACTCCAGTGTTACATTCACTTTTGCTCTCTGTATCATTGATACTCCAGGGGTTACACTCACTTTTGCTCTCTGTATCCTCGATACTCCTCAGGTTACACTCACTTTTGCTCTCTGTATAAGTGATACTTCAGGGGTTACATTCACTTTCGCTCTCTGTATCCTCGATACTCCAGGGGTTACACTCACTTTTGCTCTCTGTATCCTTGATACTCCAGGGGTTACAATCACTTTCGCTCTCTGAATCCTCGATACTCCAGTGTTACATTCACTTTTGCTCTCTGTATCAGTGATACTTCAGGGGTTACATTCACTTTCGCTCTCTGTATCCTCAATACTCCAGGGGTTACACTCACTTTTGCTCTCTGTATCAGTGATACTTCAGGGGTTACATTCACTCTCGCTCTCTGTATCCTCGATACTCCAGGGGTTACACTCACTTTTGCTCTCTGTATCCTTGATACTCCTGGGGTTACACTCACTTTCGCTCTCTGTATCCTTAATAATCCAGGGGTTACGATCACTTTCGCTCTCTGTATCCTCGATACTCCAGTGTTACATTCACTTTTGCTCTCTGTATAAGTGATCCTTCAGGGGTTACAATTACTTTTGCTCTCTGTATCCTCGATACTCCAGGGGTTACAATTCCTTTTGATCACTGCACCCTCAGAACATGCCATGGCAAAATTGTAGGTTCCATGTGCGACATCTTCTGGACAAGGTGAAAAGGCTAGCTTGATCCTTCGATGTACATCAAAGGAATTTGGAGATCACATAACGGTATATTGTAATGGCTTTGAAGTTCTGTGTCACTCCTTTATTATCTTCAAAAGGAGCTTATCAGGCTATGATTGGTCATTTTTTCTTCTGGAACCAATCAAATTACATTGTTCATGCGTTCAAATTTGCCATGACATGTTCAACAGGTGCAGAAAGTGAAAGTGATTTTAGCCCCTGGAGTATCCAGGGTACCAAATGGATTGAAAGAGTATTCTTACATGGAACACATAACATGTGTAACATGTGATTGTATGGAACTGCAAAACTGCCATTAAGTCTGAGTTGACAAATTTTCATTACTTTGATTGATCTAGATTTACATGGTGGATGTACCCGATGATACCTGAACACCTGATAGTGTTAATTCTTAAAGTCTCCATATAAATCTTTCCTTCACTCAAATCTCAGTTATTCTGTCATTTATGGACCTGTTTGTATTATTTGTTTAAAAATAAAACAAAAGTCAAAAGTAAACTTTAAAGAAAGAGTGCCAAGAAAAAAAACATAAAGAAAATACCAACATAGCAACATATTCATAATTCAAACTCAAATTCCATAAAACTAGGACAAGATATGGACAAAAGAAAGATTTACATGGAGACTCCTGAAAAAAAGTACAAGGAGAATAAGACCAGGTGTTCCAGAAGAGTAAGCATTTTCTACTTCATCAACAACACCTGTCATGTCCAAGTAAGTAATGTCACATTCTCAAATAAGAACAAGATAACCTCTTAGCATGTTATGCATTAAGCAATATCACTTACCATTACAAGATTTATCGAGGAATTCTTTAAAAACTTGATGATTGACATTTAGGAGACCTGATGATAAAAATCCAGCTGGAATCTCTTCTAATGTGTCATAGAAACTTTGGAAGCATGCAGATATTCCTCGCACAGCAGGACAGAAATCCCTAATACCCGCAAAGTAGTTGTCCAGGGCCTTGGTGATGGCTGTGTTAAAATCTCTCACACACTCTGTGAGTGGAACAAAGATATCATTTGCTGCTGGAATCAGTAGTGATATTGGAGGACACTCAGACAGCAGGGACTTAAAATCTGTTTCAGAAGAGTACCTCTGGATGGAGTTGCAATCATAGATCTCATTGGATATCGACTGCATTAGGGTATTGCCAGAGCTGCAATATCATATCAATTGATTAGAAACCTTATCACATTTGTTCACAGTTACTTCCAAAGCTGTAAACCAAATGTCCACTGAGAATGGTAATTGCCACAATGTTGAAATAACAGTCAACAATACTTTAGACATGACAATCCATTAATTCTGATACAATTCAAGCAGTTGGCTCTTAATTATATATGATAATAGATAACTGACTGATTTTCTACCACAATTATGCAGTTTAGATTATGATTTTTGACATGAAATGTGTTTCAAGGTTATCTGATAAAAAGGCATTGAAGAAGTAAAACAACAGTGATCTTCTTTGCATCTGAAAAGTAATTTGAAACAATAAGAAATACTTAATGAGTTCAATTGAAAATTCATGGTTGAACAAATAGATGACTTTTACAAGGTACCTGTTTATGTTGTCTAATAAAACATATTGTTCATGCAGTCATAGCAAAATTCTTATCTGCTAATACTAACCGACAAGAAGGTGATGTTCTCAATGCGTTTACAGCAAGTTCAAAGGCGTTTTTAATGGAGCACTGTCCAGGTAGAGGACAGACTCTGGTAGATGCAGCACATTCTCCACTTAAAGACAATTCTGCAAATTTATCCATGACTGTTGTATTAGCTGTCAGTCTAACACTTGGATCACAGAGAGCACTTTTGTCTTCCAAACATGTTTGTACAATGGTATACTCTCTGTGGATAAGAAAAAACATTAGTCAACCTCTGATATCTGCAAGATACATCATTCTTGCTTTGTTGTGTAGCTTATCACATCGAAAAATAAAAGCCATTTTCTAACTTGGTCTGTGACCTTGGGATCTAGTGTTTAAAGTCACCTTCTAACTTGGTCTGTGACTTTAGGATCTAGTGTTCAACACCACCTTCTAACTAGGTCTGTGACCTTGAGATCTAGTGTTTAAAGTAAATTTTGGCTTGGTCTGTGACTTTTGTATCTAGCGTTTAAAGCCACCTTTTAACTAGGTCTGTGACCATGGGATCTGTTCTAGTAATAAAGTCAGCCCAACGCATGGAACAGGTATTGTGATTGATCAAGTAAGGTTGATTTTGCGAAGATATTTTGAGTTTGCTTCTTTTAAAACACAATTAATTAAATTAATTTGATTTTAGGAATTTAGAGGAAACAGTAAAAGGAAGTTTTTTATAACTACAGTCTGTAAAAGAAACCATTCTATACATTATCATTTCGTTTCAAGAGGTGTTGGTTGTGAGAGAAGTTTTGGTTTGGGGTAATATGACACTGCTATAAAATACCAACTTACTTGCATGCTTCTTCTTCAGTATTGAAAAGTGAGTATCCATCAACAAAGTCTTTGAACATCTCTACACAATTATCAACTTCATTTTGATCGCAGCTTTGTCTAAGAATGACTGGATTGGCCATTACACATAAGTTCTCACTCAGCTCTGTTGAGCAAGTGTCTCCTATGATACCTCTGACAATCTGAAGTGTCTGACTCACTGAGACAACAACATCTCTGAAACAATTTCCTTTTGTGACTTCGGTAAGGCAAGTCAAGCTTGCATCCAGTGTTCTGAAAAAAAAATTCAGAGCTAACAGGAGTCAAAAAGTCATTTGAGGCACAATTAGTCAGTGACACATTAATCACCAAGTTATATAATTGAGACACAGAGGCATGACACTGAGGTCAACAAGTCATGAGACAATTACAGTCAAGGTCACAAGACTCAACAAGTTTTATGACTGAGACACAGAGGCATGACACAGAAGTCAACGAGTTATGAGACACAATTACAGTCAAGGTCACAAAACTCAACAAGTTATATGACTGAGACACAGAGGCATGACACAGAGGTCAACAAGTTATGAGACACAATTACAGTCAAGGTCACAAGACTCAACAAGTAATATGATTGAGACACAGAGGCATGATACAGAAGTCAACAAGTTATGAGACACAATTACAGTCAAGGTCACAAAACTCAACAAGTTATATGACTGAGACACAGAGGCATAACACAGAAGAAGGTCACAAGACTCACCAAGGTATTAAAGACACAAGTCATATTTTGTGACAGATGATACAAAGGGTTGAACTTACATATGGGGCACAAGTCAATGATGTACTTACTGACATACATCTGATGCAAGTACTTTGTTCGACAATAGGTGCATCAGTGGCTGTAGACACATTTCCGCTGTTGTAATATTACACACATCTCTGACAGGTGGTATCTGTTCTATACACATAGGGCTTAATGTATTCTTCATCCATGTGGTCATTTTGTACATATTGTTGGTATTGGAGATAGGACAATTCATTAGAGATGTGGACAAACATCCCTGGACAATCTCCAAGTCACTAATTAACAAAAAACAATATGTCCAGCCAATCAGATTTTATGGTCAATTAAGTCTGGATAACTCATCTTGTTAGTTATTCATTGCATATCTGTATCTGTTCTAGGACCAGGAGGCTAACAAGTGATATCAAAGGGCAAGGGTGAGGATAGGGTAGATCCAATGGACAATATTTGATATGATGTAAGCATCAGTTATTATAACTTTTTACTTAAAATGAAACTCCCTCCTTTTCACAAAACAAGGTTTCTGAATGTATAAGCATTTTTTAGGGTGTAAATCACAGCTATACTTATTTTTTTCAACTTCAATACATGATAAGTCTTAGATCACAAGAAACTTGAAATTATTATCATTGAACTTGAGGAAAAGGTGATGTATCACAATAATTTACTGAGGCTAGTTGTAATAAAGTAACAATGCTATATTAAATGAATGTATGTACAGTGTCTATAAAAAACGTAGAAGTGACTTTCAAACTGTTACTGATGTGGTAATTAGGACTTACCTGCACAAGGTGTGACGGTATTGTAAAGGTGTAAATGGTGTGACAAGAAGACGGACGAGTGGGCCGCTTACACAAGTGGCAGCCTGGTGGAGTGTACAACTTGGAGGCTCTAAAATGAAGGTAATTATGCTGTTCCTGGATATGTTTTTTTACATTTAATCTTGCATACATACAGCTGAATATGGATCATGATAAACCCCAAATTATCATTCAAATACCATTTAAAAATACATGAACATTCAGATCCAAAACTGTCATTTTCACTTTCCTGAATCAGAAATGTTTTTGTCTATTATATAAAATGAGAATCTGTCAATTTCAGCAAATATTGTTTGTGAACTCGAAACAACAATTTCCACTTTTACATCGGTAAATTTGTCATCCAAATTCTTGGCTTGAAATATACCAGATTCTAATACACACAACACAACATGTTTTAAGTTAGTATGGTCAACCAAAGTTTGAGACTCCTCAAGTCAAACTCCTTAATAGCACCATATACCAATAAAATAAGTTTGACTGTTCATAAACATTGGATATACAGTCAAACCTGTCTATAAAGACCACCCAAAGAAGAAGATAAAAATATACCTTTACTGGCAGGTGACCTTTATATAGAGGTTCAATTATAATATTTTTTCATTTGTACCAGTGATTAATATGGACAGGTATTTTTGTCCTATACAGATGACATTTAAGGCAGTTATGGCTGATTAAATCAACCTTTACTTAAACAGGTTTCGCATCTTTGTGCATGCTTGTACTGAAATCTAACCATTGGTGGATCTTCTTGTATCTCTGTTACATTCATTTATAACAATGATAACAATAATAGTAATAATTTGCTTTATTTATCTTTGATAATATGTTGAGCAATATGTTCGTCTTACATTTGGTCAAGGTACAATAATATTGTACAGCCTATTACAACTTTAAGGTAAAATAGTTCTATGACTAAAACTCATCTAGTTTCTTACTTACCAGGGGGACAGGGAATGGTTTGCACAAAATCCCCCACAATGGTATCAAGGACGCTGAAATCCTCCACAGTGAAGACATATCTGGGATCGGAGGCTACATCTCTAAGCTGTGCTTGCAACACTCCATCCCCTATTCCTACCACCAACACACTGATATTGGCTTGTTGTACAGCATTAACTGCACTCTCGTAGCCAGACTGAAATTCTCCATCTGTCAACTGTAAAATGAAATAGAAAATGACAGCTTTTAACAAGCACAAACATATTACGGTAGTTATATATCTATCTTTGTGTTCTATATAAAGACATATCAACAATTAAGCACTGCTATCAAAATTTTTATTCCAACTGCACGATAGAGTATGTCTGGCACCCAACACTGTTTGATCTTTATTTATGATATATATATATGAGGATTATCTATAAATAGTAATGGTGGACATAACCATGGAAACCAGATGGAAGAGGATTTTCTAGAAATAATGATGGTGAACTTGACCTTGGGATCCTGAAGAAAACTTGTATGAAACATTACATGTATATCATTGACCTTTGTGTAATTTCCAATCAAAATCCCTCTTCGAAAACAAAATAACTAGAGCGATGTTATTTCTTGGGTTTATAATTTTCTATAAATAGGGATGGTGACCTTGACGCTTGAATTCTGAGCCACAAAGTCATTCTTTATGTAAGATTTGATTCAAAACCCTCTGAAATGACATCATTAGATGTGATATCTCATTATAAGCAAGGATTCTGAAACACACATTCACACGAGGTATTGTCATCATCAACAATGTTTTCTACTCTTGTAACTTTATGAACATTAAAGAAAAACATACAAATAACAGAGTAAGACTAACTTCAAAGGCACAGACACTGGGTTCCTATCCTTAGCAGAAGAATTTAAATACATAATGACCTGTGTTCCACTTCAGTTTCTGTAATCTTAAACTGAAGATTCTGACCGAGCAATATTGTCTGAACACCTACCAGTAGGATAACATCTTGAACATCTGGCCTGTTACCATTGCCTCCAAATATTTGTGAATGCACAAGGTCTAATCCAGCGGCTACATTTGTACCGGATTTATCACCGTACTGTTCGGCAAGCTGTGTTACAAAGCCAATCATGGGATCCCGGTCATAATAAGAATCCAAAGAAAAGCCAAGATGTCCTTGACTTGAAAATGTTGCAAGACCTAGACGTATGGAATCCTCTCCTATATTCAGCTGTGTGATTATGTTATTGACAAAATTGGCCATGATGAAGAAGTTTTGCTTGGTTATACTGCTGGATTCATCTAACAGTATCACAATGTCTGCCACACTATATCCACATGCTGAAATCAAATTAAAAAAATAACTAGAAACTGTGTCTTACTATCGACTGAAACGCCATAATAGTGGACGTAAAACCTGTCAAAATTTTACAACAACTGCAAAACAAGCCATAAGCTTATATTTATCACTTTTATTGGCCTGGATGAAAGCATGCCAGGAGTCTTTCTGCGGGTGGAAACTGGAATACTCGGAAAAACCTACATGGTTGGACAGGTGGACCCCATACCATTTCATGTCCATTCCTGGAATCAAACTCCGGACACCTCCAGACCCTTTAACCTTAACTGATGACCACCTTAACATAAGCTGCAAAACTAGAGGTTATGATACTAGTGGGCAATATAAACTAATGTTGAGAGGTTCTCAAGATATATGACACTGTTTCAAAATGGGATGTTATGATATACAATGGAACAGATGGAACAGGAGTATTACTACACATACCCCATCCCAATTTAGTGGAGTGAAAAAAAAGAAAATTAAAAAAGTCCCAAATATCCACTAGCTGCCTTGCAAGCCTTAGATTTGACTGTGATATGTCTTTGACAACATGCTTGTACCTGCTTGCTCTGTGACAATATTTGGAGGCGGAGTAGTCACGGTAACATCAGGGAGAACAGCAGCATTACAAAAGTCAGTCTGACAGCAATAAGAACAGTTGGTAGATGTTGGGCAGACTGTTTCACACTGATCTTTAGCCATACAGCCTTTAATATACAGCTGTGTACCATCCTCCCTTGTATGTAACATGGAGCTACATCTCTGTAAATACACAGTACTAGTGTATATGTTGTTTGAATACATGGTTTATAACATGGGTGATAACTGCTAACACTCCATGAAGTAGAGGTAAATAATGTATAGTAAATAATTCAAAAAATTCCCTAAATCACCTTGGTTTTCATTAAGTGTAATGCATCAATTACAGAAATGTTAAAGCATAAAAATACTTTCTATATCAAATTGTTTGTTTTTTTTCCCAACTGAATCTTTCATCAAATTTTAATTTAGAGGAAGTTCAAGAAATAACATAAACTGAAAATCAGGAATCACATCAAAGACATTTTCACACAAATACATGTTGAACCTTAAACTCATTAACCAACCTCTGATAGAGGGTCACAGATAGTGAGGTCAGTACTAGATTGACAATCCCTGTCTTCTCTTCCACGACAGCTGTGACAATAGAGTGGCTTCTCCATATCATCTGTGACCAATAATAACATCATAGCTTTGACACACATACATATAACATAGAAACACATAATATTTTATTGGGTTTAAGTAGTCATTTTTATTGCGAAACTGATTGGAAATCCAAGCATCACAAACTTCCCTTTTCATTCCCCAATTTCAAGTAGGATTTTTTTCCCCATCTTGCCACGAAGCATTTAGGTATACCTTAAATAAGAAAAAGCTTTGATAAAAACACAGGCATTAACTAGCTTCAGTAAAGTAATGAAGAGAATGAGGAGAAAAAATAATCACATTTTCACTTTTTAGTAAAATAAGCACAACTTTAAATTTGCACATCCAAAATAATTACTATATATCAGTATAAAGAAACTGCAATTAGCACAATAATATTTGAGTGTAAAACTGACAACACAAAAAGCAGTTAAGTAAGATTACCATTAAAATAAGTTTGGTAACAATATATATTTACATTTTCAACTTATTGAATATGACTAATAAATGTCTTTCAATGTCTTTTCAAGTTATTTCTTACCAACAAATGGAAAACTTGACAGGAAGAATTACAATTGATCATTGCATTTCTGAAATCTCCGAGTCAATCCTGAACTTGAACAATTAGTTCTATTTATTAATACAGCATGGTCTAATCTTATTTCCATAATCAATTAATTTTCCATTTTTTTGGATGATTGTCCCATCAGCAATGTAAATACATTAAAAATTAAAGAAGATTTTATCTCAGTGATGAGAACCATAACAAGTATCATGATGGAAACAAACCTGAAGAGCAAATGTGTTTTATAAAAGAGGTTGCAATTTCAGCCATGTGCTTTGTGTAGATCTTTGCAAGGGGAGGCAGTTTTTCATCGTACAGACAAGACTGAAGGAGGATAGCTGCCTCACAGATCAACGTGGTAGAATTAGAACCAATCACTTTCATTGACCGATGCACCCTGTGACCAAATCCAACCACACAGTCAGCAAGGTCGTGGTATATGTCATTGTCATCAACGTCCATACTGATATCACATACGCTCTCCATGGAAAACTTTAGTTCCCCCATCACAAAGTCAAGAGGTGCTCTTTGTACTGACAAACAGGAGGCAGTGTGTTTCGCAACACAATCAAATGTTAAGTTCTTGTTCCTATTAAAAACAAAATAGTAAATAGGTGAGTAAGAATTGGCAGGCTGAAGAAAGGATGATCTTACACTGGGGTAAAGGATGAAGAAAAATGATTGGGAAATTCAGGCAACGGTACCAAGACAGATTGACATTCTACAGGTTAGTAAGGAAACTGTGATTGGGAAAGGCCAGGGTACCAATAAGATTGACCTTCTATGGGTAAGCAAGGAAAACAAGGATTGGGAAAGGCCAGGGTACCATGAAGATTGACCTTCTATGGGTAAGCAAGGAAACTGTGATTGGGAAAGGCCAGGGTACCAAGAAGATTGACCATCTTTGGGTTAGCAAGGAAACTGTGATTGGGAAAGGCCAGGGTACCAAGAAGATTGACATTCTATGGGTTAGCAAGGAAAACAAGGATTGGGAAAGGCCAGGGTACCAAGAAGATTGACCTTCTATGGGTAAGCAAGGAAACATGGATTGGGAAAGGCCAGGGTACCAAGAAGATTGACCTTCTATGGGTAAGCAAGGAAACTGTGATTGGGAAAGGTCATAGTACCAAGAAGATTGACCTTCTATGGGTAAGCAAGGAAAACAAGGATTGGGAAAGGCCAGGGTACCAAGAAGATTGACCTTCTATGGGTAAGCAAGGAAACTGTGATTGGGAAAGGTCATAGTACCAAGAAGATTTACCTTCTATGGGTAAGCAAGGAAACCATTATTAGGAAAGAAGACATGGGAAAGGGAAACATCCTTATAACAAAGTGAAGAGACTGAAATTATTGTCAAAGACAAAGAAAGATAATTCATCATATCAACACTAGAAAAGTGATATTATCTAACAGTGTCAGAATAAACTTTATACCTAAATTTCACAGAAGTGGAAATAGTGATATATAACGACTCAAATAAGCATAGTTATAAGAATAGAATATGAAAAGATTGAAGGCAATGAGAATTTACCCCTTTATCTACTGGTATATGTAAACAGTTTTGTGTACTTACGCGCACATAACAGTTGCTGAAGACATTTTCCCTAAAGTTGTCAGGCACTGCATTGCTTGATCAATATCACATTTGTCAGGGGTATCCATGGTGATGCGTTGACAATGACCTCTGACCCAGGAAGTTTTATACATCACTTGATCCCAGATATCAGTATATTTGTCTGCAGAGCAGGTCTCCACATTTTCCTTAACACAATTCATCCACATGTCTTTTAACCTACAGGAAGGAAACTCAAATTTAAACTATTTGATTTCTTTTACACATTAAAAATATACTGAAAAGATAAAGAAACGAAGGGTAATATTTATTCCGATATTTTGAAAACGCGTTCTCCAAATAAAGTGAAACTTTGTGGATTGAGTGATTAGGTCATATTACACCTTGTCATGTATCGAAAATTTTGTCATGGTACAGTGCGCAGCTCTGGTAAATGGAGGAAGGAAAAAACAAGAATCTCGTGCACCGTGTTGTTCTGGTCTCATGCAGCGTTGGTCAAGTCACTCTTCGTTAGTCTTTATACAGACCAACTGCTTCCCTAAAATTAATTGAGAATTTGATGCGTTTTCAGAATGGCACGACTCACAGAAGTTCAGAGGGGTCAGGCCATCCAGATGCTGATGCAAGGACAGCTGCAAAATCAGGTTGCTAGGCACTTTAGTGTTAATGTTTCCACCATAGAACGTCTTGTAAGACGTCTTCGGGAAACTGGGCGATTGGCCGATCAACCTAGGTCAGGACGTCCGCGCGTAACGTCACGACGTCAGGATCGCTATATCGTCGTCTCTCATGTGCGTAATCGGCGCCTTACTGCCGTTGAGAGTGCACTTAATGTTCGTGGAAATCATGGGCGTCCTTTAAGTTCAAAAACTATAAGGAATCGATTACGAGAAGTTGGTGTAAGAGCACGTCGCCCCTACGTAGGTCCACACCTTACTCCTGCTCGACGTCAGCGTCGTATGGCCTGGGTCGCTGCACATGCTCCACGACAGTTTCCACTGAGGCAGTGGAGACAAGTTTTCTTCACGGACAAGTCTCGATTCTGTCTTTATCGATCTGCCGTCAACGTGTCTACCGACGTCGTCGTGAACGTTTTACTGACGCTTGTGTTGTAGAGAGGGATAGGTTTGGGGGCGGTTCAGTAATGGTGTGGGGAGGAATCTCACACGGGTTAAAATCACAATTGGTTGTTATTGATGGCAATTTAACAGCAGCTAAGTATAGAGATGAGATCCTCCGACCCCATGTTATCCCTTTCTTACAGCAGCATAATCTAACCCTCCAGCAGAATAATGCTAGGCCCCACATAGCAAGGATTTGCCTAGTCTTTCTGGCCATCAACAACATTCAACCACTGGATTGGCCGCCATATAGCCCTGATTTGTCCCCAATCGAGCATCTTTGGGACCAGTTGGATAGACATGTTCGAAAGCGCCAGCCATCCCCTGCTACTTGAGAGCAGTTGACCAGAGCTCTGATTGAAGAGTGGGACAACATCCCCATAAGACGGATTAACGTTCTCATGAACTCTATGACCAGAAGAATAAGGGCCGTGACCATAGCAAACGGCGGACACACAAGATATTGATGACTCAGTTCAATTTCAATTTCAAAATCCTATGGGTCCATTCAATTTAATCATTAGTACCTCTATACCAATTGTCAGATGCAAAATACAGACTTTGGAAATTTTTAAGTTTTAATTTATCTGTAAGTATACAAAATTTCGTTTTAAATGAAGCCCGATATCATACTTAATTTCTGGTTTAAAGTTCACCCTGCGTTTCTTTATCCTTTTAGTATACAGTCTTAAGGAAGAGCACCTGTAATAATATTTCACTGTGAATTTGGTTAAAATCTACCCAGGCATTAAGAAGTAGACTTTTGAAGCAATATATTTTCTAATTTCCCCTTTTGGGGCTCCACCTGCATGTCCTTAGGGCGGTCAAATCAAATTTTTGAATTTAATCATTATTTGTCAAGCCCTGTTACTTATTGTAGATTTCGAGAAAGCCTTTGATTCTGTTTCATGGAAATTTATTGATGAAGTTCTACTTTTTTTTTTATTTCGGACCTAGCAGAAGAAAATGGATAATGACTTTATGCAACAATTCTAAATCTGCAATTAATCAAGGCGGTAATTTATCTCCTTTTTTCAACTTGAAACAAGGCTGTCGACAAGGTGACCCTATCTCTGCTTATTTACTCATATTATGCATTGAAATTTTGGCACAGACTTAGAAATAATAGAAAAATAAAAGGGATATCAATAGATAGAGAACCAATTTTATTATCTTCAGTATGCAAATGATACCACAGTAATTTTTGATGGTACAGAAATATCAGTAAAAGAAACAATGAATGAGTTAGGTTTTTTTTGCAAAGCTATCAGGATTAAGAATAAACTTATCAAAAACTCAAGTTATATGGATAGGAAACAAAAAATATAGTAATGAAACTTTCTTTCCTGAATGAAAACTACAATGGGGAAATACCAAATTCTCAGTTTTAGGAATAGATTTTGTGAAAATTAAAAGTGTACTTAAAATGTGGAGTAGAAGACTACTTACTCCTATTGGAAGACTAACAGTAATTAAGACTTTGGTCATCTCATAACTAAATTATCTTTTTATCTCACTTCCAAATCCTGATGAAACCTTCATCAAGACTCTTAATACAGAATTATACCATTTCCTATGGAATAGTAAAGTTGATAAGGTTAAATGAGACATCATTATAAAGGAATATTTAGATGGAGGGTTAACAATGATAAATATTATTTCCTTTATAAACTCACATAAATATGAGGATTCGTAGATTACATCTCGGAAAAGGCAAGTGGAGAAATATTCTTTATGCTAAATTAAATGGTAATATACTTGATAATTGTGGAAGTGGTTTCATTGATGACAATATGAAGAGAACTAACAATTTATTACGGAAAGACGTACTAAAATCATGATTGAAAGTAATTCAGTCTAGCATTATTAACAACTATGAATATTTTTTGAAGTCACCATTATGGTTCAATAATGACATAGAAATAGCATGTAAAACTATTTTCTACAAACGATTGGTATCAAAAAGGGGTGAGGATTATTAATGATATAATTGGTGATAATGGTAAGTGTCTTTCCTATGAAGAATTCAAGCATAAATATGACATTAGGTGCAACTTTCTAAAATATCATGGCATAGCATCATTAATAACAAAAGCACTACACAAACATCAACAAAATAATAAACATGTATCAATAAAATACCCATATATTCCATTAAGTTTAGAAGTTATTCTAAAAAGCAAGAAGGGAGCTAGAGACATATATAATGTATTATGTAAAAATAATGTCATACCAACTGGTAAATTTGAACCATTATAAGAATTAATCTTGGACTGACCTTTAAATGAGCTATTATAGAGTTGAGCTGACCTTTGAGTATTGCATGGACCTTTAAATATTGCATCATATTGTTACATAAACCCTGTGGTCAATATACCCTTATATCTCAAACGTCAACACCTGTGTCTATATGAAATACATGATAGAAATACATGTCGGTCAGGTAGAGTAGAGTTTAATACCGGTCACGTAGAGTTTAATACCAGTCATGTAGAGTTTAATACCGTTAAGTAATTCTTCTGGTCAATTGTCTTTATATGTTCAGATATTGAATGATATAGGGCCGATATATAAATTCGACTTTGAGCTTGGTGATTCTCAGTCGATACTTGGGGTTGTCTACTCAACAGTATACACCCTACACTACATTAATAAAACAACATCAACACCCTACAACGCTTTGGATTTTCAGTGCCTGAAAACATTAAAAACTACAAATTTTCATCGACAACAACAAGAAACGACGCAATATTATAAAATGAAATGGATTAAATACAATATCAATGATGACACATGGAAACAAATTTATATCCTTCCTTACAAAGTTACTAAAAATACTAAATTTCAATGGCTTCAATATAAAATTAATCACCACATTTTGATTACCAATTCAATGTTATCTAAAATAAGATTAACTGATAATTCTGTTCATTATGTAAAACAGACAGAGAAACAATTGAACACATCTTGTGGGATTGTCAAGAAGTGAGAAGATTGCTACATAACTTGAGAGATTGTCTCAGATTTTTCATACTAACTTTGTATTAGATAAGAAATCTTTCATCTTTGGATTTTTAAGCAATGATAAAGCAAAGGCTACAGTCGATAATGTGATAAGTTTAAGCATTAAATATTATATATATAAAACAAAATGTCTTAAAAACAGCCTATTTATATTAGCACTTATTAATGAAATTAGGGAAACATATAAAGTACAAAAGTGCATATCAGAAAATCAACAAGAAGCTGAGAAATTTGAAACCCTTTGGAGAGAATAGTCAGCTTTATTAGAGTCTTTCTTTTTTTTTCTTTTTTTTTTTCAAAAGCTGCTTACTTAATAATAATAACAGAAATATTTATGTCCCTTCTGTAAAGAACAACCAATAAAATTGATAAGTATCATGTTTCTTACAGCATTGTACTTTGTTACATTGTTTGTCTTATGTCTTGGCTCTCTGTTTATTATCTCTTGTCTGGTCACTGTCCATTTGTCTGTCCTGTTTGTATGTTTGTCTTGTTTGTTTACCCAGCTTTGTTGTTTATGTAAGTAGTTTTATTGGTTTGTCTGTCAATTTATATTAGGTTTACCAGAATATTACTTTATTATAATATAGCTAAATGTGTCAGTATGTTGAATGAGAGGCCTCCTGCATGATGGCGTTCAGCTGTTTGGGGACTGATCACAGATAAATTGACAGTGCGGTATACTGTAATAATGTAAAGAAAGTGTATAGACATATCAATCAACTGAGGTTGTGATATTTCATAATGTACATACCTACAGACTCGATCAAATCCATACATCAATGCCATTATGACTTCTTTTCGTGCCATGTCATTATCAAAACACTCAATAGCTGCTTTAGGATCACAGATTATTTCCCTTGAGCTGGAAGATTCTTCACTGGAAGTTCCAGCTTCAGAACTGGCATTAGCTGTAATTTCCCCTGAAGTAGGAGATTCCACACTGGAAGGTCCAGATTCAGCACTTGTTACATTATCTCTAGTTGAGGTGTCATTCATTTTTGGGATTAAATGACAGGTGTCTCCAATGACAGACCAAGCTAGATTTAGAGACAGGAAAGAGGCTTGGAAGTCCGTGAAAGAGCAGGACTGTTCCATAGTGGCCAAGGATGTACCCTGTATAGTATCCATCAGGTGTCTGGAAAAATTGAAAATTCATTAATTCATGAAATTCTCCTTTGTTGAACAACTATAAAATAGATGTAAATAATAAAAGTTACCTTAGCCTTAATTAATGTTAATACCATGTATTTAAATTTTCTGTAGTATGTCCCAATCATATACAGCTGTGAAGCTTTACAAGAAAGAAAGATGTTATAGATGATATATCCTGGACAAAATGAATAAACACAACCACAAATTGGCAACTAGATGCAATTTTTTCTACCACCATTCTTCAGAAGAAAAAAATCAATTACCACTTGAATTTGCATTCACAAATGTTTCCCTCCTCTCTATCAGTAAGAAGGGCTTTTTATAATTTTCAATAGATCTGAGGGTAAATGGTACTTATGTTAGCTTACAAACAGACAGTTTCATCTGTGTGGAAGTTGTTTTGTATGGAGATGCCAAGAGCCAGACTTCCACACAGGCCACAGTGACAGTGAAGCTGACGCATGCGACATTTGGTCAGCAGGGCACTGGACTCAAGGTGAGGCACTTGTTCTTTGATTGACATGTACTGACTAGAAATACATTTTATCGTGTTCTTCTTCATACACTCCAGACTGGTTTCAACCTCACTGTAGAGAAAATATGGAGAAAATATCAAGAGAGCATATAAACTGAATGACCATAAGCAAAAGAAAGACAGATACTGGAAATGGTGAATAAATAAAAGGACAGAATGGCAAAGTGTTGACTTAAAAGATGCACATTTTCACTTCAATGGGGTTAAAATTCCTTTCAGAAAAAATTAGTTATCAAAAATAATTTCTGATATGCACGAAGGATAAAGCAGAAAAAATATTGTGATGCTTTATTTGGTATCTTCTCAAATAAAATTTATTTACCTGCATGACAGTTCTTCTGTATGTGCCACAGCTTTCACTAAGGAGAAAGCACACTTCACAGCGGATACACCAACACATTTTCGAGATTCTGGAGAGATAAAATTATATCATACCTTCTGATCCCTTTCTGTACTTTTGACCATCAGATGTCTCATGCTACCATACAACAATATGAGATATAACTTCAATCTGGTGGTACCTATTTTAATATCTTGTATACATGAATTAAAAATGTGTTTCAAGAATATTCACTTTTTCATAAATACATAAAACAACTTTAAAGTTTGAAAATATCCTGAATTCATCTAGTCCCAATCCATAAAAATGTCTCGTTGAGGTTCTCAAGATATTGGTTGGTTAGTTAGTTTCCAATCTTTTTGACTATGTCTATCTCTAAGCATTTTCTTACGGACGAACGTCAGTGTTCCAATAACATGTGGGGGTTACCTGCATCCCCCTCATGGGGTGGAGCCATCTGTCAGCATGCAGGACAAATTGAGCAGTTTTAGAAGACAACTCCTTCACCTAATGGTGCCTTATCTAGTCAGTGGCATAGATGCCATTCCCTAGTGACCAAACCAAACAGAGTACACTGTAATGGCATCTGCATTCTGACCTGAGGTAGGGTTTAAAAGTTTTATTTGGACCCACCACAGTTATCTAAGGTCAATAGAGTTGTCAGATATTCAAGTAACTTCTTTAGAACCAGCCACACATACACCATACAAGACCAAGATCCAACCTCATCTCTCACCTGATCACAAACATTACTTCTACTCAAATCTCAGGATAAAACAGATTGTCTTAGTATGTTTGATAGAATAAATTTCTCTCCATTCCTTCTCGACATACAACCTGTTAGCATTAAAACATTATTCCTTCATAACACATAGCCTATAACAACCAACCATTCCATCCGCGTGGTGATTCTCACTCTTCCAAAACTTGGTCTATCCTATCTAACCATGTCCTATCATAACATTTCCCATTTCAATATAACTTATCTTGCCTAAGTCTCCTCAAGGTATGACAGATTCATTTTATACCAAGATGATCACTTGTAAGAAGATCTGAATTGACTAAATTATATAGGCTGTTACATCAAAAAGCCAATCCTGCATTTCTTGGATGTTTCTCAATTTTTAAGCAGAAAATTTTATGTGCTTATCAAGGTGTAAATTTAGGGGCCAAACGGGGAATAATTGAAGAAATCTGCCCTCAACAAAAGACCACAGTATTTCATATCTCTTTGTTTTGCCCTATATTATGCACAAACCCTGATCTAGCTACCCACTATAACTGGTCAACAGTTCCTCGTAGATATCATTCAGCCTATCAGAAATACTTGTCTTTGACCTTTTAAATAGAGGTCATGAGGTGCAGCAAAACATACTTCTCTTAATAACAGAAACAAAATTTTCAAAAAAATATGAGGAAGTCAATCAGAATGGAGGTCGGGAGTTGGGACAATAATAGGTTGACATGGTTCCTAAGCTGTTACAGTGCATGTCACAATACCTACGAATTACATTTATGTGTAAAAATTTGTGCCCCTAAAACATCTGTAGCCATTCAGATGTCAAGTCCCAGAGAGGAACAAAATGTTATTTTCAGAGACATATGTTTTGCTCCTCAGAAATATTACTCTGGTCTACAAAAGTCAGTCAGCCCTAGCTTACCGGTGATGACACTGTCCCATGGTTGATTACACAGATTGTCATGACAACAATAGGAACACTTCTTGCTGTTTCCAGTACACTGTGTCCGACAAGAGCTGGGGTTGACACATCCCTTAGTGATGACTTTGGCACCAAAGTCGACGACTGTTTCACAAGCCTGATATAACAAATAATGATGAAAATGAAACAGCATTTCATTTTAACAGATGAAAGGTTACAGTAGGTTATAAATCTTTGGGAAAGTTTCCTTATATTATGGCCATGCAGTTAAGCATGCCACCAAACAGATTGTAATTAGCATTGCAAATGGATTCTACACCTTTAATTAATTGAAATTCTCTTTAATTGAAATTTATCAACATATTCCAATGAAAAACAGATCACCAGCATTTTTCCTACTAACTGTACCTTGATATTGCTTATAAAGGAATAAAATTAATGAATTCTGGTGAAGCAGCATTTCTTACAGAAATGGAACAAACAAATGCATATAAGAATAAGCTTAAAATATATATATAATATTTCCATACACATCCCCACATATCACAGAAGTTTCTCGAACTATCTCCTCAAGAAATCCCCTCACCTGACATCTGTACCTATAAATCCCTACACCTGACATCTGTACCTATAAATCCCTGCACATCTGTACCTATAAATCCCTATACCTGACATCTGTACCTATATATCCCTACACCTGACATCTGTACCTATAAATCCCTACATCTGACATCTGTACCTATAAATCCCTACATCTGAACCTATAAATCCCTACATCTGACATCTGTACCTATAAATCCCTACATCTGACATCTGTACCTATAAATCCCTTCACCTGACATCTGTACCTATTAATCCCTACACCTGACATCTGTACCTACAAATCCCTATACCTGACATCTGTACCTATAAATCCCTACACCTGACATCTGTACCTATAAATCCCTTCACCTGAGATATTCTAAATGAAATCTTGACACTTGAAATCAATACCTAGGATTATGTCCTAAAAGAAATTTCAACACCTGACACTCGTGCCTAGGATGATCTTCTAAAAGAAATCTGACATCAGTACCTAGGATTATATCCTTAAAGAAATCTCGACACCTGACATTGGTACCTGTTTATTGGCAGCACATGTTTCTACAGATCTAGTGTTGCATGCATCATTGGAATCTTCTTTGTTACAACTAAAACACTGTAGTTTTGATGCTGAAAAAGAAAATAAAAACCTTTTCTATTACAAATAAATCTAACAAGTTAATCACAATATACTTTTACATGTAAATAAATGTAAAAAATCTGAAAATTGATTAACTTCAACATATTCCGGAAAGCATGTAACTGTAAAGCAAAGTGTATATTTCTTGAACAAGGGTTGGTGAAATATGAGGTGACAATACAAGTTAAATGATCATTGTCTGTTTTAGCCTGATTTACGCCAACATGTATACTTAAACATGCATATTACTTCACACTTACCTGCACATTTGTACTGGATAGATGCATATACTCCAGTCAAAGCTTGTCTGAGCACTCTCTGCCTGTCTTCTGGAAGGATAAGCATGGCTTTCTGGGCGCACTCCCAGCTCATACTGGCCTTTTTACACATCCAAGCTAAGCGACTCATACAGACCTTGGTTTCACCACTTCCTGAAGATTGTCCACTTGTAGATTGGGATTCCCAACTTGTGGATGCACTTCCTGAAGATTCCTCACTTGTAGACGCACTTCCTGAAGATTGTCCACTGGCAGATTGGGATTCCCCACTTGTGGATGCACTTCCTGAAGATTGTCCACTGGCAGATTGGGATTCCCCACTTGTGGATGCACTTCCTGAAGATTGTCCACTGGCAGATTGGGATTCCCCACTTGTGGATGCATTTCCTGAAGATTCCCCACTTGTGGATGCACTTCCTGAAGATTGTCCACTGGCAGATTGGGATTCCCCACTTGTGGATGCACTTCCTGAAGATTGTCCACTGGCAGATTGGGATTCCCCATTTGTGGATGCACTTCTTGAAGATTGTCCACTGGCAGATTGGGATTCCCCACTTGTGGATGTACTTTCTGAAGCTTGTGCACTTAAAGATTCATGACTTGAAGAACTTCGAGCAGAACTTTTGTCTGGTTCCTCACAGCTATACTCAGACTTGCTACCACTTTCACCTGATGAAGTACCTCCTATATAACACATGTCTAAATCTATTGACCAGGCTTCATCCAACACAAAATCACTGCCAAGCTGATCATCACAGAGTATCTCGTCCTCTTCTGCTGTCTCCTGTTGACTGCCTGCAGAAACATCCCACTTGGAACTGGAACCTGAGTTACTTCTTGAAGCAGACCCTGAGTCAGCTTGTGAGCCAGATTCTGAGTCCATTCCAGAGCTACCAGCTGAGGTTTCTGTACTTGTACCACCATCACTGCTGGAATTTGATTGGCTTTCCTCACCAGCATCTGATTGGCTTTCATTACTGACATTTGATTGGTTACTTTGACTTGCACTATTTGATTGGCTGCCCATACTGCTGCTATCTGTTGATTTGGTTGGTTGATTATGCTGGAGTATTTGCAGTGAAGCTGATTTAAAAGCTGTGATACAATGCATGGCTACCTTCTCACACTGTGATGTTGTCATCATTACAACATAATCCAGCTTGGCATAAATTTTCTTCCGCTCATCGTGAGAGCAATGCTTGGCTCTCTTCTTCACACATCGTTTAGTACTGTCAATCATGCTATAATAAATAAGGCTGACTGATTTCTAGATATACTACAATAACAAAACAATTTCAACATCACAGAATGCATAGTTAGTACATGTCTGTCAATCATCAATACCATTGCTCATATGCAAATTAACATTGTTGTTTGACAAATTTCTGTAAGCAGGTGTGATATCTATAACTAAGAAACAAAAATTAAACTGAGGTATTCTTATACAATACATTGAGTTTTTTTTCCAATAATCCCACCTGAGTTTGTAAACATAGCAATGACACATGACTGGACGATGATTTTCTATAAATAGTATCAGTCAGTCTAAACACCATCCCTTTAAATAACAACATACTTGCACATTTCTTTCCCTCCTTTCCTTAGCATAGCAGTTAAATCCTCAACGCATTGAAGAGCTGCACATCGTTCGCAATATATCTCTGGACACATGTGGCCGCGACGACCCACCAGTTTTTCGTACATCCTGTGGATGGTTGCCTTCTCACCTGCTTCACAGCCCGCAATCTGACGTTTTACACAATTCTTGGCAACCACAAGAGAACTGCAATGACCAATAGATTGTCACTCATGTACATATTTAACACTTTATATAACATGATTACCAATTCATGAATGGTTTTCAATGAAAAAACATTTTATCAATCTACAACTTCAGTGGTTTGGTTGTATTCAAATTACACAGTAAAAATACTAGTTCCTTACAAACACTTTTTATATGCAAATTAACTACCTTTAACAAACTTTGTTCGAATGGTGAATTCACGAAAGGAAATAATATGCAACAAAAAGTTGATTTACAGCAAACAAAATTGTCTGCATGTACAGGTTGGGCTTTACAAGTATGTCACAGTTATCAATTATCTCTGAAACAAGTCAATTTTGAACAAATTATAGAGTGTCACCATCAAGTGAAATTAACAACATTATAATCCTAGTGAATGTCCGAATGATTCAGTTACAATGTGTGACTCAAGTTAGTCTCAATGTATTTGAAACAGTGTGGCCACGTTCTTTTTGTAATTCATAAAATTTCAATGAAATCAGCATTAGATGTCAAAGTCCATCCTAATATGAATAACATCTCCTGGACACTTGTATTAGATGGTAAAAGTGTATATAGTATCCCACATCTGTGATGCCGTGAAAGTCCTCATTGTCAAGGAAACTGATCGACATCACTTATGATTTTCTCAGTCTTTTTATGTACAATTGGATTTGTTGTTTTGTAATAGTCTGGAGTTAATCAAGATATTAGATACTTATGTTATAAAGTCAGTCATGACTGGCACAAAATTACATAAAGGTAATTCACATACACAAATAGGTGCACATATAGTGTAAATGTGAAATATTGCTATATTTTCGGAATCATATTTGGACGGGGGAAGAAATAAGTACGATTCTTTTTCATGTGTTTAAAGTTTAAGTTAACCCTACCTGTAATAATATGTTGTAACTAACTTTCATCTTTGTCACCGTTTAAACATTTTAACACTTTATTAATTTGAATACTTCACTTCTTTTTTCATCTGTGTTGCTGCCAAGCAGTTGGTAAGAAATCCTGTACAGGTTTTCTACTATGTAATTTTATCTTATCTACTTCCAATATATATGGTTTAAGGTATCATACAAATCATACTAACATGTCGCATGCCAAATTCAGGCAAATCTACAAAAAATTTTCCACACATTTTAACCTTGAGTGGTTCAATTATCTAAACTGGAAAGTTCTCCATCCCAGCTAGCAACTGGCAAACTATCGTGAGTAAAGTTCACTTGCTTATTGAAACCAACACATCTGACTTCAGTAACAATGAAGTTAAGTTTAAGTGCATTTATGCAAATTATAAAACTTGGTTGCCCTTAATTCATCCCTGCATTTTACTGGTTAAACATGATGTCTCCCATCCATTTTATTTCAGTGCTTCCTAAATACCATGGTTGATCTTACTTGCAGGCAGTTTCTCTGTTTCTTTTGGCAGCTACGAGGCTGGTATGTGCTGACACAAGACAGTTGAGTGCTTCAATGTCATTACACATATGTCCTTCCTGTTTGCAGTCTGGTGGCATTGGTTTGGGGATCTGTGGAGCCATACAAGCAAGATGGGCAAGTGTGGTCATGTCCTGATAGGCCTGTAAAACACTGCTACGCTTTCCCTCATCACAGTCCTTTATACTCTTCAATACACACATTTCTGTTGTCAGAATTTGTCTACAACAAAGGGTATGATTTTACTTGCAGATACTAGTGAGTCATAAGCATCATCTTTCCATAAGACAATCAAAACAGCAAATATTTCTATGTTAACAGTTTTGTTAAAAAAAAACACAGTATGAGAACAAACATACCAAATAACAATCTTGAAAATTTAATAATTATTCTGTCTAGTAGAACACTTTCCAGTCTTGTCTCTCTAACAATTTGATTTGTTCAAATATATCACAAGACCAAATGCCATTAATAAATGATAGTTTCCTGCCTTGCTAGGACCCTTTTAAACACTTTGTCGTGACTTTGGGCAATGTCGACTTAGAGATTTCAAACTCGAATTTATTTTTGAACAAGTTCAACAATATTTATTTACATTTGTTTGAACTGACTGAAGGTTTACCGTAAGATTATAAATGAAATAAAACGGTTTACATATCAACCACCTATCTGCAAAATTTACTTGTAACAAAACAAAAGTGAAGTTCACAAAGTGGAAAACTTGTGAACAAAACAACCAACAAAACACAAACACTAATTGAATTGCCAAAGTTTATTTGTAAAGGACAGATGGAGTGAATTTAATCTGAATCTGAACCAGTATGCTAAAAGTATGTGTATAAGGTCTCAGATGGACTCTGTGAAGGGATGCCTTCAATATAACTGAGTGAAGTTTAACCTCAGGTTTCAGACCTTAAATACATGACCTTGACCTTCAACTAAGCTACAATGGACAAATAAATGGACATAAGGACGTAAATATAGGTATATGATCCATGAATTTTAGGAGGGCATATTCAAACATGCCTACAGGAAAGTAGTCCAGTATATTTTGCTTTGAATATCAGTCATTTAAATGTATGTGACCTCTTAAATTAAATTCCCATTAACCTACAGAAAACCGTATATTTTTCAATAAGCAGGTTATATGTTATCAATACATAATTAACTTACAAGCAGATGGCTGTTGAGTAGGTGTGTGAAAAACTATAGTGAATCTTACAAGCAGATGGCTGTTGAGTAGGTGTGTGAAAAACTATAGTGAATCTTACAAGCAGATGGCTGTTGAGTAGGTGTGTGAAAAACTATAGTGAATCTTACAAGCAGATGGCTGTTGAGTAGGTGTGTGAAAAACTATAGTGAATCTTACAAGCAGATGGCTGTTGAGTAGGTGTGTGAAAAACTATAGTGAATCTTACAAGCAGATGGCTGTTGAGTAGGTGTGTGAAAAACTATAGTGAATCTTACAAGCAGATGGCTGTTGAGTAGGTGTGTGAAAAACTATAGTGAATCTTACAAGCAGATGGCTGTTGAGTAGGTGTGTGAAAAACTATAGTGAATCTTACAAGCAGATGGCTGTTGAGTAGGTGTGTGAAAAACTATAGTGAATCTTACAAGCAGATGGCTGTTGAGTAGGTGTGTGAAAAACTATAGTGAATCTTACAAGCAGATGGCTGTTGAGTAGGTGTGTGAAAAACTATAGTGAATCTTACAAGCAGATGGCTGTTGAGTAGGTGTGTGAAAAACTATAGTGAAACTTACAAGCAGATGGCTGTTGAGTAGGTGTGTGAAAAACTATAGTGAAACTTACAAGCAGATGGCTGTTGAGTAGGTGTGTGAAAAACTATAGTGAATCTTACAAGCAGATGGCTGTTGAGTAGGTGTGTGAAAAACTATAGTGAATCTTACAAGCAGATGGCTGTTGAGTAGGTGTGTGAAAAACTATAGTGAATCTTACAAGCAGATGGCTGTTGAGTAGGTGTGTGAAAAACTATAGTGAATCTTACAAGCAGATGGCTGTTGAGTAGGTGTGTGAAAAACTATAGTGAATCTTACAAGCAGATGGCTGTTGAGTAGGTGTGTGAAAAACTATAGTGAATCTTACAAGCAGATGGCTGTTGAGTAGGTGTGTGAAAAACTATAGTGAAACTTACAAGCAGATGGCTGTTGAGTAGGTGTGTGAAAAACTATAGTGAAACTTACAAGCAGATGGCTGTTGAGTAGGTGTGTGAAAAACTATAGTGAATCTTACAAGCAGATGGCTGTTGAGTAGGTGTGTGAAAAACTATAGTGAATCTTACAAGCAGATGGCTGTTGAGTAGGTGTGTGAAAAACTATAGTGAAACTTACAAGCAGATGGCTGTTGAGTAGGTGTGTGAAAAACTATAGTGAATCTTACAAGCAGATGGCTGTTGAGTAGGTGTGTGAAAAAACTATAGTGAATCTTACAAGCAGATGGCTGTTGAGTAGGTGTGTGAAAAACTATAGTGAATCTTACAAGCAGATGGCTGTTGAGTAGGTGTGTGAAAAACTATAGTGAAACTTTCAAGCAGATGGCTGTTGAGTAGGTGTGTGAAAAACTATAGTGAATCTTACAAGCAGATGGCTGTTGAGTAGGTGTGTGAAAAACTATAGTGAAACTTACAAGCAGATGGCTGTTGAGTAGGTGTGTGAAAAACTATAGTGAAACTTACAAGCAGATGGCTGTTGAGTAGGTGTGTGAAAAACTATAGTGAAACTTACAAGCAGATAGCTGTTGAGTTAGGTGTGTGAAAAACTATAGTAAATCTTACAAGCAGATGGCTGTTGAGTAGGTGTGTGAAAAACTATAGTGAAACTTACAAGCAGATAGCTGTTGAGTAGGTGTGTGAAAAACTATAGTGAATCTTACAAGCAGATGGCTGTTGAGTAGGTGTGTGAAAAACTATAGTGAATCTTACAAGCAGATGGCTGTTGAGTAGGTGTGTGAAAAACTATAGTGAAACTTACAAGCAGATAGCTGTTGAGTTAGGTGTGTGAAAAACTATAGTGAAACTTACAAGCAGATGGCTGTTGAGTAGGTGTGTGAAAAACTATAGTGAATCTTACAAGCAGATAGCTGTTTGAGAAGGAGAGTGAAAATTTTAGGTACATGTAGATGGCTGTTCTTGAATGTGTGTAAAAACTAACTTACGAGCAGATAGCTGTGCGTGTAGGTGTGTGTTGGTAGCGGGCGATCACTTTAGACATGGTAGCTAGACAAGGAGCTGCTTCCTCTGGGTGACAATACTTTGGAGTGATATCTTCTGGTTGCTTACAAATGCCCTGAGCACTGACTAGTTTCTGTGTCCAGTCAGACACCTGTAGGAACTTCTGGTGCTTCTCAGATGAGCAGGTGACTGTCATATTAGTCACACAGTCAGCATACCGTTGTGTGGTGCTGTTGGAAACAAAGTAATTTTGATGATATCACATCAATGATATATATTACATTAAGTATTTATATTAAAGAGAAACCAAAAACAACGATTATCAATGACTACATGACCACTTACAAAAGCTGAATTTTTCTACCAGTGTCATGTTACTGAAACACTTAGACCCATTATTATCAAGTTACTAAATGAAAATAATAACTTTCTCAAAATTCATAGTCATGTAACAGGAGCAAAAAATGTGTGGCCAGACCAAGGTTCGAACCTGGGACCTTCCAATCTCTAAAAAGATGTTCTACCTACTGAGCTAACTGGTCGCTGATGATCAACCCCGTCCAGTTCTAAGGATTCATTATGATTTCATATCATTTTGATAACTCAGCACTGCAAAACAGAAAAAAACGCTGTTACCTGCAGACTGTAGACCTTGCCCTGACAGGGTAGAGTCCTGACAGAAGGGACCTGGCCTGGCCATTGTAACAATGTACAGCTTCAGACAGATGACAGGTGAGTGGCTCTGTAATGAAAGACATTAAGTAAGTCCCTGACAAATACTATATTGTCAAATGAAATATGAGTAGTTTAATATGGAAATTACAACAAAAACGGCAGTTTCTAATCAAGATTTTATCATATATATTAAGTCCTAAAATGGAAGAACAGTTATTGACCTAACTCTGGTTTCTATCATGGTAACCATGACTACAAGGAGCTAGACATACCTTGATAAATTTCAGTAAGAAATATATACCAATATATTCACTTATGTAGAATATTCAAAGATACCATCCTTCAACGAAACATCCAAAATAAAGGTCAAATGTAGTGTTTTTTAAACTTCGACCTCCGCATTTGACCTTTTGGTAGCTGATGTCAGATGCCAAATTACACATTTCCACAAGATCAATGTCACAAGATATTCTGTTTAAAGAACGTAATAATTATATCCCTGAATTTATAAAAAAATAATTTCAACCTTTAACCTTAGAATTACATTGTGTAAAGTAATTAATAATGATTTGAAAAATGATTCAAAATGTGACCTGAAGCAATTTAGTGAGGTCCCAGAAATAGTAATTAGACATGTCCCAGGTAAACCATCAATTTTCATCAGATACAATACATTCATTAAGAATTTCTAATAACTGTAATTACTCTATCCTTCATTGTGGGTCTGAGAGATTTACTTAAAGAAATCTGAAAATCACATTTCTACGGTCGAATAGGTCAAAAATATGTTAAACTAAACTTGTAAAAGAAGTTGTGACAGGAAACAGCAATCTACATATAGATAGGAAGAAGTAATAGCATTGAATTGTAGTTTGGGTTAGGTCATTAGCAATGATCGCATTAAAATTCTGGAAATGAAAGTGTCACTGCTAGGACTTGATCTAGCAACCCTTCAGTCTCCAGCCTGACACTCTACTTTTAGAGTAAAGTGAACTTCCCACTAGCCAAGGGTGGAAAGGTGACCTGTACTTTCAACTCCTAGTAATGCTGAGCTTTTACCAACCTTCTGGACAAGGAATGGACGCCACAAATTGTTCAGCAATTCCACTTAGTTCTGAGAAATCGGCAACTGTAAACAAGAACTTATCGTTGGCTGCAATAGCTTTCAACTGATCCATGTCAACATTTCCAATGCCAATGACAAGCAAGGTAACATCCATATCACGCAGAAGATTGGCTTCAGTTTCCGAATTATCAGAGGAAGAGCCATCTGTTAGTAGTATGACAATTTTGGGAGCCTCCGAGCGAGCTCCTTCTGCAGCAGAAAGGGTGACTTCTCGCACATATCTCAGACCCTTTTCTATCTCGGTCCCAGATTTGTCATAGGGAATGCTATTGATGAGGGCAGACATATCAGCTGTAGTGTTATATGTATTCAATCCAAATCGTTTGGTAGGATTTCTAGAAAATGTTACCAAGGCAACCCGCATTATGCCCGTTTCAATATTTGTTGCTATGACAGAATTGTGAAGAAGATCTATGACAAACTGTTTCTGGATCTGGAAATTGCTACTGCCTATACTACTGGACTCGTCAACAAGGAACACAAGATCTGCTGGGGCTGAACCACAGTCTGCAAAAGAAAAATGTTACAGCAAATGTCACTAAAACAAAAGTGATTACAAGGTCATGGAGGTGATTACAAGGTCATAAATGGATTACAAGTCATAGTCATAAAATGATTACAAGGTCATAAAATGATTACAAGGTCATAAAATGATTACAAGGTCAGAATTATTATTATCATTATTACATTCTGGACGGCTCATTAACACATAAAAGGTCATTAGGGCCATCAAACGGTAAAACACACAGCGATCCAAAAAGAAATAACATTAAACAAACCAAAAGGTAAAAGACAAGTGCTAAAAATCTTAAATGGATATGTTAACATAAAAGATATAAATGATATGTCATAGTCTATTATACAGATCAACATCTTTCAGGTAATGTAGAATTTTACAAATCTCAACAGTTTCAAAAAGGGATTTGAGACATGTAATGTTATGATAAAACATTCTTGAGTAGACAGAAGGTCACTGCAGTCCAACAACAAATGTTTAATGGTGAATGGCTCATCACATCCTATGCACTGAGGATTATCTTCGTCTTTCATCATATATGAATGTGAAAGGTATGTATGACCCATCTGAAGATGGGCAAGGCCAACTTCCTCTCGGTGGTTGTCTCTATAGCATGGCGACCATTCACCGATGATAGGTTTAATGGAGTACAATTTGTTATTGGTATATGAGAAGAGTCAGATGAGGTCATAAAGCATTTACAAGGTCAAGGTGAGGAAAGTGACTATGAGGTCATAAATTAATCACAAGCCCATGAATTGATTACATGGTCAGAAAAGGGATTATGAGGTCATTTGCCATTGAAGAATATGAACTAGAAATATATAATTATGTACTCAGAAGTGCTCTGTAGATAAAACTGGACATAGATTCCATGTAACAATGAAAGTTCAAGACTACCGAGACTTGTAACTTGGCTGAAAAATATGATTTTAAATATTTTGTTGACCCAACATAATAGAAATAGGATTTTAAAGCAGAAGATGTATCATTTTCTAATATTTAGCCCCACCTCTCAAACCAGAGAGGTTACATATAAATCAACTATATGATATATGATCATGAAACAAGTATTTGCAGTTCCTCTGACAACAGAACATCCACCAATATCCAGAATTTCTCTCCCTGGTCCCTTCCCTTTAAATCAACATCACGGAACATCCACCAATATCCAGAATTTCTCTCCCTGGTCCCTTCCCTTTAAATCAACATTATCTTAAATAATTTTACACTTTAAGTGATATATCTGAACAAGTACACCTCGATTTATGCAATCCTTAAGAAATTGTACCATTTCAAAGTCAAAATGTCCCTAAATTTAACATAATAATTTTATTCAACCTTAGATAACTCTGAACAAAGATGGTTCACACTGTGTTAATTCAGGAAATGTGAAATTTTTTAACAAGAAGGTAAACTCTTCAAGCAGTTTGGGCTTCATGAAACCCTCCAGCCCTAGCTCCACACTAAGTGCCCAGGAAACCCTCCAGCCTTAGCTCCAAACTAAGTGCCAAGGAAACTCTACAGCCCTAGCTCCAAACTAAGTGCCCAGGAAACCCTCCAGCCTTAGCTCCAAACTAAGTGCCAAGGAAACTCTACAGCCCTCGCTCCAAACTAAGTGCCCAGGAAACCCTCCAGCCTTAGCTCCAAACTAAGTGCCAAGGAAACTCTACAGCCCTCGCTCCAAACTAAGTGCCCAGGAAACCCTCCAGCCTTAGCTCCAAACTAAGTGCCAAGGAAACTCTACAGCCCTCGCTCCAAACTAAGTGCCCAGGAAACCCTCCAGCCTTAGCTCCAAACTAAGTGCCCAGCCCCAGTAAATCCACATTCAAAATATGATTACAATATATCTTTAAATAAATTTCTGGTTAAGGATTTTAAAGTAACATCCCTATGTCCCCTAACATGCCCTGGCTCTCTTTTGGGGGACATGACAGAAGACAAATTGAAATTGATTTGTACTATTTTTGTTGTAAAGCATTAAGTCTATATATAATCTGTTAAATTAGGCATAACATGTTCAACAAGATCTTTAAGAGCTTTGATAGTGATGAGACAGTAAATCATTAATGTGTAATGATGATCAACTTAATCAATGTTTCTAATAAGTTATCAATAAATGTTTACAACAGTGCCTTACCTTTCTCTGTGGAGTTTTTCCCTGAAATGAGAAGTGAAAAATAAACAAGTTATATCTAAACCTGCTTTTCATGAATGTAAAATTTTATTTACGTCTAACTCAACACATCAATATTTTAATATCATTAATTACACTTTTACTTGAAAATTCTTTCCACACAATTGAGCAAATTATAAAACATTGTATTAATTTATTCAGCCATATTATATACCCATCAAAGAAGTAACTTAGGATGAAGATGTGTTTCTCATTATAAATAGGTATTTTCCTATTATAAAACATAAGCTATATTTTTAATCTTATCAGTTTTTCAATTTTTTCATCTAAGACATCAAGTACAGTGACCTTGACCTGAATGTGAGAATATATACCAGATAGAGTGTGTCAATATCTGTATACAGACACATTATTTATCATCAATAAAATTTTATGGCATATCTACGAATTATTATCAAGTCATAGTACAGCTAGGAAAAATTTGAAGACCATCTCCATTATAATCTGTACAAGTCCTCACCTTTAGCACAACAAACAGCATAACTGTCAGTTGGAGAGATAACACAATGAGATCCTTCTGGACAGAATCCAGAGGAACCTCGTCCACAGAAGTATTCATCCCCATTCTCATCCTTTAGAGGGTCTCCCACTTCACATGGACTGACCTCAGCTATAATATAAAACAAGACAAAAAGCAGGCTTAAATATCAGTAAAAAGTTTTACAAGTCTAATGACCCAAACTTCTGGTCCCATTTTTCAAGAAATAATTGCTCTCTCCTAAATGATATTTTAAAATCAATTTTGCAAGAATTCCACTCAGAAGTATGAAGGATGAAGCATTTCCAAGCAACGTTTTAGTTGATTATCAGAGTCTCATCTCCCTGGCCCTCTATGTTGTCAATAGTCCACTTCTCTAAAAGTCAGTAACACCAAAAAGGTCCATCTAGATTGTTCTTGAGGGCATTCTTGTCAGCAACATAATGCAACTACTCCACCATGCTTGAACAAATCTTGACATGTTTAAGAGTTTTAATCACCAAACAAATTATGATGGCATGACAATATTGATGACTTGATGACCTATGTTTCGGCCATTTTTTGGCCTATAAAATACAAGATGTGTTAAGAGTCACATGAGTGCCCCTGCCAGTCTCATGGTGACTGTCATGATTGACTGTTTAGAGATCTTACCAGCTTGACACAATTCTGATAGTTGGGAGTTCAGTTTGCTTCCAAGGACTTGTGCAAGTCGTTGTGAGACAAGAGGTTGAGTAGAGGACACTTCATCCATACACTCCATCAAGTCAGTAAACAAAGAACATAGAATACTGCGGTCTAGATTTAGTGATAACAAATACTTCTCCTCCAGATCTTCCTTAAACTGTTGTGTGCAGTTTCCAGCTCCCCTCTCTGGGTCAAATGTTGATGGCCAGATGACACCAACATCACATGGTTTGACAATACCTAATGTAAAGGTTTGACTGAGAAAGGCTGTGAATTCCTCATACACAACTGCGATATCCGAGTCGTGACATCCGCGGATAAAATTTGATATACATGTGGCCATCTGTGTTGCTCTGAAGACAGACAAATTAGAGCGACAATTAAACATCAGTTCTATGTAAGATTACTCACATTGTTGTATATTGATTTACAGGAAAGTCTTTTATCTCCCAAAATCTATACATTATTGGTGGGGGCACTCGCTCATAACACTGAATTACTCGCTCATTTTTGGCTTATAAATTCTTGGGGAATTTTTTCCCTCAATCACTTCATATACTTAATATCTTTAGAAGTTTAGTCAAGCTTCTCCAAGGACCTTATGTGAGTCAAGTCACTTCTCTGAATCATTACAGAGTCAAGGGTCTTTTCATTGGTTACCTTAGCAGTCAAGTTTGTCTCGTGTTTGATGGCAGCTACTCCGTATACGCAGTCACAGAGTCAAGTCAATTCTCTTTGAGCTGAGTCTCTTCAGAGTCAAGTACTTCTCTTATATGGAGTCTAGCCGATTGCCTTCTTCACTGTGCTTCTCTGATGTCACAGGGTCAAGCTCGTTAACTTAGTTTTTGAAGGCAGCTACTCCGTATACTTAGTAAGTCAGAGTCAAGTCACTTCTCTTTGAGCAGAGTCTCTTCAGAGTCAAGCACTTCTCCTATATGGAGTCTAGCCGATTGCCTTCTTCATTGTGCTTCTCTGATGTCACAGAGTCAAGCTCGTTAGTTCAGTTTTATTAGGTGATCACTACATATTCTTAGTTATGCTTTAGAAGTTAAGTCAAGCTTCTCCAAGGGTCTCCTCATTGGTTACCCTAGAAGTCAAGTTTGTCCCGTGTTTGAAGGCAGCTACTCCATATACCTAGTAAGTCAGAGTCAAGTCACTTCTCTTTGAGCCGAGTCTCTTCAGAGTCAAGTACTTCTCTTATATGGAGTCTAGCCGATTGCCTTCTTCACTGTACTTCTCTGATGTCACAGAGTCAAGCTTGTTATCTTATTTTATTAGGTGCTTATGAGTGAGTTGCCCCTGTTTGCGCCAAAAAAATAATGTTTTCCATGTACATATAACAACATGTTTACAATCATCAATAAATCGTAAACTTCAGTCATGCTTGAGTGTTTTTGTATAAAACATTATTGGTTGACTCTAAACCAAAATGCAACACCTAATAAAAATGTGTTTTTGAATTTCTTAGCATAACATTTGTACATTATTATCATAGTAATCTCACAAGAAAAAACTTTCCCCAGTGATAAGCCCACTTACATGTATGCCATTACTTAAAAATTCAAACCAAAGCTATATATATTATTGTCCTGTAATAAGACAAACTTTGAATAAAATGGAATGTGTTGGTCGTTTGAGCTTTTCTTATGTACATAGTTCAATCCATGAATAAGCGAAAAAAAAAGTGAATGTGTTGGCCATTAGGGCTTATTGCTCTGAATAAAAGTTAAATCCTTCACTTTGAGTTAGAAGTAATGTGTTAACCTTCTTGACTTGTCCTGTAATAAGCCCAATCCTAGACTTTGAGTTAGAAGTAATGTGTTAACCTTCTTGACTTGTCCTGTAATAAGCCCAATCCTAGACTTTGAGTTAGAAGTAATATGTTAACCTTCTGGACTTGTCCTGTAATAAGCCCAATCCTAGACTTTGAGTTAGAAGTAATGTGTTAACCTTCTGAATTTGTCCTGTAATAATCCCCACCCCCTGACTTTGAGTTAGAAGTAATGTGTTAACCTTCTTGACTTGTCCTGTAATAAGCCCAATCCTAGACTTTGAGTTAGAAGTAATATGTTAACCTTCTGGACTTGTCCTGTAATAAGCCCAATCCTAGACTTTGAGTTAGAAGTAATGTGTTAACCTTCTTGACTTGTCCTGTAATAAGCCCAATCCTAGACTTTGAGTTAGAAGTAATATGTTAATGTGTTGTAATAAGCCCAATCCTAGACTTTGAGTAGAAGTAATGTGTTAACCTTCTGAATTTGCCCAATCCCAGACTTTGAGTTAGAAGTAATGTGTTAATGTGTAATAAGCCCAATCCTAGACTTTGAGTTAGAAGTAATATGTTAACCTTCTGGACTTGTCCTGTAATGTAATAATGTGTTAACCCAATCTAGACTTTGAGTTAGTAACTAACCTTCTGAACTTGTCCTGTAATAATCCCCACCCCCTGACTTTGAGTTAGAAGTAATGTGTTAACCTTCTGAACTTGTCTTTAAATAATCCCCACCCCCTGATTTTGAGTTAGAAGTAATGTGTTAACCTTCTGGACTAGTCCTGTAATAATCCCCACCCCCTGACTTTGAGTTAGAAGTAATGTGTTAACCTTCTGAACTTGTCCTGTAATAATCCCCACCCCCTGACTTTGAGTTAGAAGTAATATGTTAACCTTCTGAACTTGTCTTGAAATAATCCCCACCCCCTGACTTTGAGTTAGAAGTAATGTGTTAACCTTCTGAACTTGTCCTGTAATAATCCCCACCCCCTGACTTTGAGTTAGAAGTAATATGTTAACCTTCTGAACTTGTCTTGAAATAATCCCCACCCCCTGACTTTGAGTTAGAAGTAATGTGTTAACCTTCTGAACTTGTCCTGTAATAATCCCCACCCCCTGACTTTGAGTTAGAAGTAATATGTTAACCTTCTGAACTTGTCTTGAAATAATCCCCACCCCCTGACTTTGAGTTAGAAGTAATGTGTTAACCTTCTGAACTTGTCCTGTAATAATCCCCACCCCCTGACTTTGAGTTAGAAGTAATATATTGGCCTTCTGGACTAGTCCTGTAATAATCCCCACCCCCTGACTTTGAGTTAGAAGTAATGTGTTAACCTTCTGAATTTGTCCTGTAATAAGCCCAATCCTAGACTTTGAGTTAGAAGTAATATGTTAACCTTCTGAACTTGTCTTGAAATAATCCCCACCCCCTGACTTTGAGTTAGAAGTGATATATTGGCCTTCTGGACTAGTCCTGTAGTAATCCCCACCCTCTGACTTTGAGTTAGAAGTAATGTGTTAACCTTCTGGACTAGTCCTGTAATAATCCCCACCCCCTGACTTTGAGTTAGAAGTAATGTGTTAACGTTCTGGACTAGTCCTGTAATAATCCCCACCCCCAGACTTTGAGTTAGAAGTAATGTGTTAACCTTCTGGACTAGTCCTGTAATAATCCCCACCCCCAGACTTTGAGTTAGAAGTAATGTGTTAACCTTCTGGACTAGTCCTGTAATAATCCCCACCCCCTGACTTTGAGTTAGAAGTAATATGTCAACCTTCTGGACTAGTCCTGTAATAATCCCCACCCCCTGACTTTGAGTTAGAAGTAATATGTCAACCTTCTGGACTAGTCCTGTAATAACCCCAATCCTAGACTTTGAGTTAGACAAAATGTGTTAACTTTCTGGACATGTCCTGTAATGTGTTGGCCCTGTGGGTTTGTTACCAGATAAGATGAATGTACATCATTGTGAATTGCAGTCAGATAAATAAAAAAAATCAATGTAACCTGTTAAAAGATATAATACATCATTATGTATGATTTTGACCCTCCTTAATGGTCCTGTTTTTTCCCCTCCACAATATTTGAAAATATACCAATCTATTATTTGAAAAAAAGACTGTTTTCTTCAATTTTGTGGAATAATCTTACTATTTAATTGATGAATTGGATTAATTAGATAAAACTGATCTCTACAAGATTTTGAAAATTATTGCAAAATTCTTAAATACATTTCAAATCACCGATCAATTTACAACATTTTCTATTTCAATAAAGCCTCTTTCATTGATTTAGAATTACAACGTATCATAATGTCTGGAGTTTGACTTTTCACAAGGTGTTTACTTTCAGATAAACTATATTTTTACATTTTAGGGTAAAGTCAGTTTCTGCTCACCCACAAATTGTGGTCTCATTCCATGTGCTGGGAAGACACTGTACCCAATCATGGGTATCACAGGAAACTGGTAGTGTAGAACATGACAGGTTTTTCTCCCCTGGATCCTCCACCAGGTACGAGGAGTTACCATTACAATGGACAACGTTTGTAATGGCAGGGCACATGTCACCGATGAGCGGCCTTAAGTCACTCAGAAAATCACCAATCTCATCCTTCTGGGATTCTGAGCAGTTTAATGTTGTGGCATGTACGACAGAAAGTGCATAACTTAGCTCCCTGAAAAATAGAAAAATTGGAGAATTTAGCTCCCAAAAGATTTCAGTATCAGTGTAAATGCAAGAAACATTTCTAACCCAAGAACCTGATGAAAATCAGCAAGAAAAATTTAATACAAAAAGTACTATGCTAGCAGTCAGTTTACAAGGGCCATCAGAGACGGGTTATGCTCCCTGATTGGAACAAAATTGTATGAAAAATAACAAAGGGCAATAACTCCTAATTTATGCAAAAGAAAGTGATGGTTTTTGTGCACTGCACTTCTCTTCACTGTGATCAACCAACATGAAGTTTTATGTTGATACCTCTTAATGTTTTTGTATTATGCTCTGGACAAAATTATGACAGATGAATGGATGGACAGACAGACAATGCAGCGACTATATGCGCTCCTTTTGGGGAGCATAAAAATCATTAATTTACCAAATCTCATCGGCCATGCTTTCTATTGGTTTTTACTTTCTAATAGTTTCATACTGTCATGGAGATGGATTTACCTATTTCATAATCGATCTCATAACATGCTTAGTATAGGCCGATTAAGCTGTAAACCAAGAAAACAGCAAAATGTCTTTTTAGGCATGATGGAAAGATATTGTGTGTTGGTTCATCAATTACCAGTATAGCAAGATTGTGTTTCCTTTGTAGGTTTGGAGAGGTAATTATGTATATTGTATATGACAATGTATCTGCAATAATTACAAAGAAATATCAAAACTTATATTGCTTATCATTTGCTGGCAAATCTAACCAAAAATGACAAAGCTTGAAGCAGATTTCCATATTGAATAATGATGATTACTTTATCACACCTAAAACCAAAATGCATTTTCCATATATCGATGACAATTGATAATTATCCCATCTATCTAACTCTTTTTAGTATTAGTTGAGAAGCAGTGATGGCAACATTGTGACTATGGTATCATGACCTTGACATTGTGACCTTCATATCATAAACCTGATATTGTGACCTTGATACAAGTATCATGACCTTGACATTATGACCTTGATGTCATAAACCTGATATTGTGACCTTAATACAGGTATAATGACTTTGATATAATAAACCTGTGGCCTTGATACATGTATCATAAATTTGACAATGTGTCCTTGATACATGTACCATGACCTTGACATTGTGACCTTCATATCATAAACCTGATATTGTGACCTTGATACATGTATCATAAACTTGACATTGTGACCCTGACATCTTGTTTGGTGACATTGTGTGTGACAAACAGTCTGATGATGATGATCTGTATTTTGCTCTTACTTGCAGGTTTCATTGATATTGTAGCTCCCAGTGTTTGCTAAAATTACACTGAAGTACTGCAGACTGGACTTGGCTATATGAGGGAGGCAACTGTGTATATTGGGAATCTCTGGACGAATCAAGGGGCATGCCCACTGGTACACAGATTCATACAATTCTAGGGCACGAACATGATGTAGCTTGGCAGAAGAAGAGCAGCCCATCATTGACTCCCTAACACACTCTTTCACTTCATCATACCCACTGCGAAGAGAAAAACATTTGGTTAGTTCAGTCAGGAATAATATAAAGTGTCAAATACTTACATCTTCAAAATCTGCATCAAATTTCCTCTTGTTGAAGATAGGTTAAGGGCTCCATAGACAGTGAAAAAGCTGAAAATGAGCTTTTTACTATCTGCATATGTTTAGTTTTTCTTCACAGTATAAATAATATGGCAATTTGTTGGTCCAAATATCATAGTTATAAACTTTATGCAGACAATGGAAACAAAATACAAAAGACAACTTACCTACATATAACAGACTGATGGGAGAAAGGCATGAACAACTTGGTAAACAGCTTAAGTAGGTGTGTGGATAGACAAATAGATGCTTTTGACAAATTACATTCACCATCCGACATTTCATCTGTAAAATAACATTCTTATTTTAGACTTTCCCATATTGAAACTTCAAGGTATGTATCAAATGATGTAACTGTTTAAAGTAGAAGTAACATTTATCCTCTAGAATAACAATTATTTCTCTATTTGCAAAGTTGTTTACCCCGAGACTTGTATAACTGAAAAAAAAATTATACATGTATATTCAATCATTATGGTAAACAAAACCACAGGTAAAAAAATATGCTAGATTCTGAAAACTAGACAAGAGATCTTAAAGAGATCTTGGTGCCCACCATTGTTTGATCTTAATTCGCTCTTTAAAACTATCTCACACAAGGCCTTTTTTCTCAATTTTTGTTCTTGTTTTTATGAAATTTGAAAATTTCTCTTATGGTCAAGAATCTACATATTAGCTTTGAAAAAGGTCCATCTTGTACATCTTAGAAAATAGTAATGACAAACTTTTATTGTCAAAATCCAAGATGGTCACTTATCGGACAATTTTTTTCCCTAATCAGTCCCAAAATTAAAAAGGCACAACAATGATGATGTTTGCATTAACTCACCTTTAACACACTTCTCTTGGCATTCTGTGATGTTATCAAATCTGTTATCATTTCCATCACATCCACCATATATGAACAGTTCACACATTTGAGAAGTGGAATTATAGAAAAACTGTTGAAAAGCAGCCTTGCAGGGTCCAATCATTAATGGTTGCTCGCATACTGGAGCAGCCTCTGTTCATCAAACAAGTAACAGGTATATAGTTTGAGTTGCAGTAAGTGCTGAATATTTTTCATTACTCTTTAAGCAGTGATCACATCTCATGGTCAAGAATGTAGAGAACTATACTATAGGATTATTGTACTTGACTTTTGTTAAAGGTGTTAAATATGGTCAGATATAGTTAAATCATAGTTCTACATAGTCATAAATGTGATAGAGCTTCAAAAAACTTTTTAATTTGCCTTGGTTAGTAAAAGTTTTCATCTTCTTCAAAACATCTCTACAATTCTACAAAGGTGCTTCGGTGACTGCAGTTTGAATGTAGTTGACCATAGTTCACCATTACTGACCCTACTTAAACATGGTGTTTACTCTAATTGACCGAAGTTAATTAGCAGTATGGTCAGCACTATGGTCAAGTTAGATCAAATAGGGATTAAAAAAAGGTTCAAAGTTCAACGTAGTTAGTTGTATTTACACTTACTTCACTCTATCTAAACTTCTCCTCTATCATCATTTTGAACCTTCTACAGTCAAGTAAGAGTGTGAATGTAAGATGGGACCGCTGTTTATACATGAACAGAAAGTTGTTTACTTTAACTGCTGTCTTTTTCAGTTTTTTATTTGATTTGAATTCCTTCAGAATAATAAAGCAAAATATGACAAAGTCATCTAGGTATCTTTCAAGCAGGGAGTTGGTTATGCCTTGAGAAGTAACAGAAATTAGCATTAAGTAATAGACTTTAAATAAACCAGACAAAATTTAATGTTAGGTAACAGAAATTAGCATTAAGTAATGGACCAGACAAAATTTTATGTTAGGTCACAGAAATTAGCATTAAGTAATGGACCAGACAAAATTTAATGTTAGGTAATAGAAATTAGCATTAAGTAATGGACCAGACAAAATTTAATGTTAGGTAACAGAAACTAGCATTAGGTAATGGACCAGACAAAATTTAATGTTAGGTAATAGAAATAAGCATTAAGTAATGGACCAGACAAAATTTAATGTTAGGTAATAGAAATAAGCATTAAGTAATAGATATAATAGATTAGATATAAAAAGAAATGAGGACAGGTACCAGAAATAATTGTTTCACAAAATCTTCACAAGGGATCTTGAAAGTGGGACAAAGTAATTTTCAAATGAAGTTGACAGCTTTTTATAGCTCTGTCCCAATGCTTCCACCAATATCATAACCCTGGACATTTTCTTTATTCAGAATAAGTATAACTTACAATGCCTTTATCTCAGAATGTTGCTTGTTCTAAGTCATGACCATAGGTATATTGGTTATTTAAAAGATGTGATTTTATGGGAAAAATTATGCCAATTGGACAACAGAGACGTACAGTGCATGCTGACCTCAAGCTCTTCAAGCAGATAAGCTTCATGTAACCAGAAACACTTTTGAGAGCTAACATTGATAACTGTCCTCAATAGACTGGAAAACAGATCCAAATATTTAGGTAAAATAAGATGTATCTTATCAGATACATGGAATTTACCTTCTGCCATATCCATCCCATCTTCATCATTTATAGCCATACAATGTTTGGAAATGAAGTCATTAAATAGAGCCTGTGAACGACCTAGCAAGTATTTAGAGGCCAATGGAAGTTTCAGATCTGCATGACATTCAGTAAAACTCCAGAAAGTCATACACAGCCTCTGAGTTGGTTCACTGAATGATCCTATGGCCAAACGGAACTCCTTGGCAGCCTGAAGCGAACATTTAGCAAGTATGGAAGAGTCACCAGAGGGAAAGTCAAAATGGACAGTTGGGTCATTTTCTGGACAGCCTTGAGGCCGGTTCAGGTTATCTAACATGAATGTAGCCACTGAGGTCTGCATCTCTTGACAGGGTCTTACAAGATCACCAACACAATGAAATGTTGAATTGAAGGAACTGAAACAAAATAAATAAAAACATGTACAATCAGAAAAAACAATAAACTTACCAAAGTAAAGAAGAAAATACAAATATACATACACAGAAATTACAGCTGCATTTTCTACCGTAGCCATGGCGAGATACTGTCAGAAAAAAATAGGAAGACTTGTCATCAGTGTTATACACTCATATCAACTCCTCCATTTGTCAATAAAATCTTGTAATAATAATAATAATACAATCATTATGCATTAAAACCTGCATCATACAATAAACACAAGTATTTGTACCTGAAACTTACCATTCATGATTTTAAACACAGTCATCCAATCTGATACTTACTCACAAGACACTTCTGACTGTGTGAAACATTCTTCTTGAATGTCCCCAATCCTACACTTAGGTTTCGGCTCTGGACACCTATTTGGGGTTTGAGTGGGAGCGGGTAAGGTCGGAGCCAGTGGCATCGTGGTTGAAGGTAACTGATCATCACACTGGTTTCCCACCATGTACAGTAGTTTGTGAATTGCATTATTGACCAGGTTCTTTTGGTTACGGTCACAGCCGATGATATTGTTATAAGCACATGTCAGAGTTCTATGGACCTCACTATCCAAACAAATGTAAAAAATCATTTATAACACATTGTAACAAGGAAATACTTATTATAGGTGCATAACAACATATAGAGTGAAGGATGACCTACACGGAGACTGCATGCATGTACTCTTTAATGCGAGAATCAAGGAGATTACTATTTGCAGTAACTGAATACATCTTCAGCATAAACATTTTAATTCAATTCAATATCTTCTAATTCTACAAAATTTACAGCTGCGTGACCAGCAGGAAACAAATTTTAGGCAAGATAACTTTTCTAGCTGAGATTTCAAGATATTCTTTTATGACATCGAATTGTGATTCACTTTAAAACTTCAAACAAGGTACAGAAATCTGCAACATATTTCCCACAGTCAACTCTATTTGAGAAACCATATACAAAATGGTCACTTTTGATATATCAAATCAATTTACTCACAAGCACATTTCTCGAACTGCTTCCTCATTCTTCCAGTTGGACAAGTAAACTTCCAGTGCCATCCCATGGACATTCGAAACTACAACACACGTCTTTCCTGCTTCAAAATCGCACTTTGCAGTGGTCGGAGTGGCAGTTGTGGTGGCATTATCCATGGCACCTATCACTTCGTCAGATTCAGAGGGACAATCATCTACCGCCCTTGGGTTTACACATGTGTCACTAATGATATGATGAAATATCTGTTGAGAGGATTTGTGATCTCTATGTAGACCCTGAAGGAAATCATCTGACACTTTATTGAAGTAGTCTTCTCTGTATCCATAATTCACCCAATAAACTTTCTCTCGTGACTCTCCACTTTCCCTACTTCCAGAATCTTGATGACTTTCCCTACTTCCAGAATCTTGATGACTTTCCCTACTTCCAGAAGCTTGACTACTTTCCATACTTTCTGACATTCTAAATGAGCTTCCACTTGTTCGGCTATTAGCAGAATTTTCACTGCTACCCATACTTTCTGCGCTACTAGATTGTTCCCTGCTACCAGTTTCTCCAAAGAGAACATAGTCCCTTCTACCAGTTTCTTCAAAGAGAACATAGTCCCTTCTACCAGTTTCTTCAAAGAGATCATAGTCCCTTCTACCAGTATCTTCAAAGAGACCATAGTTTCTATTTCTACACTTTGCAAAATTCCCTCCTGTCATGATGACTTGTGATTCCTCATGTATCGAAACTTGACTGAAAAAGGGAAATCAGTTCAACTCGTTAAATTAGAAATTAGAGTTTGTGGAATTTCTGAGACTTATATAGTAAATTCAGTGTCTACATTTAATATAAGAGTTTTATACTGATCATAAGCACTTCTCATCGTTCTAATGAACAATCTTTATCCCCATTTTTTCCTCTTGTCAAATGTAAAGATTAGAAGTCACATTTTGTATTAAAAATTGTCTTCCTCCTGGTTCCATGCTTAGTTGACCAGAAATAGTCTTACCCGGTAAATAAGTAGCAGTGTCTTAATATATAATTCAATTATGCAATGGTTCTAAGAGCTTTTTAGATGAACAGTTATTAAATATAAAAACTACACTGTGTAATAACACTAAAACAAACCTTACTGTGTTTCCTGTGTATGTTTATATATTAATCCATTACCTTATTACCTGGTACTTCAACATTAAGTTTGTGCCATTTGACCTTTTTTCCTGTATGTGCTTTACCCTTTATACCTACCCACATACATCCCTTGATCTTGTGTAGGGTAAGCCCAGTAGAATACTAAAGGCCAGATCTCCTCCCAACCATGCCCCTTTCATCATATCCTTTTCAAGAGTCTGCTCCCTACATATACCATAGGCTGTTACACCTATCAGATGAAGATGAGCCATCAACATTTCAGCATTAATGCTATTATTTCCTTGCGAGGATATCTCATCCATTCCATCGTCCCCAGACTCGTTGGTGACATTGACCTGTGCCTGTGTGGTGCTAGAGTTATCTCCTCTTGATTCTGCTGAAGTAACTTCTGTGGAGGAGTTGTTCTCTCGTCCTATGTTGTCATCCATTTCCATGTGCTCATCATCGTTATCTTCCATTAAAGAAAAGTCTCTTGTCTCACAATTGGAAGCGTGATTGTAAACACAAGCTAAAGCTCCCTTTAAATTCCTGTAAAGATAACAGATTAAAAAGACTGGGGTAAATGATTAAAATCATGAGATTTGATTACTCCTCAAAAAGTTCCATCCTTCCCTCTTTTTTACAAAATGCTATCAAGGGATTTTTTTTAGATGTAGTCTTTATAAGAGTTACTTTGCACAGATGGATCATGATTATTTCTATTTGATATTTGTGAAGTACTTTGACACAACGGATACATATCAAAGCAAAGAGGGTGGCACACTATAATATGTTATTGTTGTTCTGATGACGGATTGCTTGGATTCAAAACATGTAAACAACCTACTCTGCGAATAAAAACCTGAAATGGAGAGGATTGGACAATGTTGCCGTCACTCTGGGAATTTCAATGGATACAAAATGATTTAAATGTTGTAATAAATTATAACAATAGGCCTAGGGGTCTAAACACACACCTGACCAAAGGACCAGTTAATCCACCCTACACCTAAAGTGAAACACTTTACACATACTGGTAAATATTTAAAATTTCCTTTAATCAACTTAATATGCTATTTCAATACATTTTCATAGTACCTGGTAATACAGATACTTCTGGTAAATTATATCTTTCTTTCTTGACTACTCTTTATTTCTGTTAATATCTCATTAAAACTCAACCCCTATCACCTTGGTATTTTGGTCTTGGCTGTGGCTATTGCAAGGGTGTTAAACTTGCAAAGTTATACCACCCCTCTACATATGATTATACTACAGATGTATGTTAATCAATGACCCATGGCCATAAATTCTTATCAATATTAAAATGCTTTTTCATTTCCATATCTTATAACAAAGTTATGACAAGTCATGGCCTTCAGGAAAGGTTTGTCAAATGGGGAAAAAATTATTATGCAATCTTAATGACCTGTCAACACATAAAAGGTCATTAGGGTCATCAACTGGTGAAACTTGCAGTGATCCAAAACGAATTAACATCAAATAAACAAAACCATAAAAGACAAATGCTACAAAAAAATAAATGGTTATATTATCACAAAAGATTAAAATGGTAAGTCAAATTGAAGATGATTAATCAGATATAAATGATGATGGGCAGATGAATATGAGGATATGACAATGAGGAGGGGGAAGGTTATAAATGAATACAATCATGTCAGAAGAAAACAAAAATGACTGCAGTCAACTCGAATCAGCAAGTGGTCACTGTCAGTCCATCTGTCTGTCTGTCCATCCATCTGTCTTTTTGGTCATTTATAGTAATCAATATGGAATATTTTTCAATTTAATGACAATAGTCAATTGGCCCAAAGTCACCCTGACCATACATTCCCATTACCAATTAAAATTTCAGTTATTGAAAGTCATACACCAATATCAAAAGGTCAACATAAGAGTTCACCAAAGGATAAAGTCATCACTATCAATCAATACTGTATAAGTTTTCATTTGCATGTCTGATTACAATGTAAACCTATGTCAAAGGTCAAGTTATAGTCACCAAATGTAACAGGTCAATTATCAATATCAATCAATATTGCAAAAGTACAACATTAAGTCAAGTAAAAGGTTAAAGGTTAATACACAGGTCACCAAATGTCAGGTCAATTATCAATATCAGTGTTGCAAAAGTATAATATAAAGTTAAGTACAAGGTTAAAGGTTAAAACATAGGTCACTAAATGTCACAGGTCAAATATCAATGTCAATCAATATTGCGAAAGTACAATACTAAGTCAAGTAAAAGGTTAATACATAAGTCACCAAAGGTCACATGTCAAATAAGTCACCAGTTTCGATCAATATTTGGTACTACACATACTGATCAATAAACAATTTCAAATCAAGTTATGATTCTTCCAATTCTGACAATACACAACACTGGCTTGTCAGTTTCTGACCTAAAAGTCACAGAACAGATGTACATATATATATATTTATATTTATATGTAAAGATTGAAATTTCTTAAAACAACAACAAATGACACACCAATTTTTTAAGTATCATGAAGACTCAGAAATGAAAGTGATAATGCTTAATTTGACATGTATTTTGAAGTTATTTTAATATATATAAAGTTATAAACAGTTATCAATTTTCCCTCACAACAAGTTCTAACAGTTAGTCTGATAAGAACAGTTTCAATGACACAGATGTTATTAACAGAAGTCCACTTGGAATGGCAACTAACATCATATCCTGGTTGTAGCTTAGAGAGACAAAAAATACAAATGAATTAAAATTCCACCACTCATTTTATCCACCTCATCACCTCCATAATGTGTACTTACAATGAACTGCCAAGAAATCCCTCCAAAAAAGATAGGTCAGTCTACAGTGCATATGCATCATTATTCCATGGCTTATTAAAAGAAAATTGCTCTGGTGGCCATATTTGCACTTCTATGAATATGAAATCAACAATTTATACAAAATTATCTGCTGACTATTCCTACTTAATTTCATCAATATCATTCAAATAGTATTTGAATCATTAGTTCAAAACAGATTCTAAATGTGGGAAAAATGGTGGCCATCTTGAAAATCACTTTCACTTAAAACTTGATAGAAATTGACCAGCACCTTGTACTGATCATTCACGTGACATTTCATTTAAACCTGCCAAGAAAAGTTTATATACATCGCACAATGGATGAAGGAAGGAGCCCCATAGCAAAAACTTACTTGAGCCTTCAGCTCAGGTGAGCTAAAATCTACCGATCAATGTCCTTACCCACACAGCAATGGTGCCAGAGTCAGCTCTTTAAGTAGTATTCTTATTGTTGTACCCGCCTCCTCAAGACAAGCTGCAGCTTTTTCCAGTTCACATGACCTTGACCCACAATATTCATCACGAGTTAAGAGGATCTTGTTCACCAGCGCCATGACAGCGTGCTTTTGAGCAGCTCGGCATCCTACCACAGCTGAGGACATACACTTTGCTGACCACACTGACTGTCTGTTAAGAGAAAGAATAGCAGATACAATTATTGTAAAATCTCCAAGGCTGACCTTGCATAAGGATGTATGTGTAAGGCTGACAACAGCAACTGTCTGTAAAGAGACTGTCTTTAGATGCTCAGTACAGCTCCATTTTAAAATGATATTTTGTACTACTGTACCAAAATGCCTTAAAATATAGAAATTAAAAAAAATGGTGAAATAAGACTCCACAGAAACAATAAAATTGATATAAAGTTTTGAAAGACCAGTACCATAGCCTTTCAGCACTAAGGGTTAAATGTTACAGGTCAAAGAAGACACAATTACAGAATATACATACATGTGTCCTTATTTCTAAGTGCAAAATCAGTCTAAAAATAAACCTCTTACTGACTTATCAAAAGTGAAAACCACTGTTTACTCATGAAAAAAAAGAAAATGGCAAAACATTTTGTTAATCTTGTCAAAGGAATATTTTGACTTAAGGGAAATGAGCTTTTTTTTTTTTATTATACTTTTGATTTTGATAATTCACAAGATAAATATTACAATGTGTTTTTAACTTACCTACAGATTCTAGTAATGGATTGTTGAGACAAAACATCCATGAACTGTAGGAAGCATACTGCTGAGGCCTGGAGGTCACATGTTGGAGAACAACTGCCATCCTCTTCTTCTTCATTGGAACTGCTGTCCATTTCCGAGGATCTCCTGTCACTATCATCTGATCTGCTTCCACTTTCATCTGATCTGCTTCCACTTGCATCTGATCTGCTTCCACTTCCATGTGATTTGCTTCCACTTTCATCTGATTTGCTTCCACTTTCATCTGATCTGCTTCCAGTTTCATCTGATCTGCCTCCACTTTCATCTGATCTGCTTCCACTTCCATGTGATTTGCTTCCACTTTCATCTGATCTGCTTCCGCTTTCATCTGATTTGCTTCCACTTCCATGTGATTTGCTTCCACTTGCATCTGATCTGCTTCCACTTTCATCTGATCTGCTTCCACTTCCATGTGATTTGCTTCCACTTTCATCTGATCTGCTTCCAGTTTCATCTGATCTGCTTCCACTTTCATCTGATCTGCTTCCACTTCCATGTGATTTGCTTCCACTTTCATCTGATCTGCTTCCTTTATCATCTGATCTGCTTCCAGTTTCATGTGATCTGCTTCCACTTCCATGTGATTTGCTTCCACTTTCATCTGATTTGCTTCCACTTTCATGTGATCTGCTTCCACTTTCATCTGATCTGCTTCCACTTCCATGTGATTTGCTTCCACTTTCATCTGATCTGCTTCCACTTTCATCTGATTTGCTTCCAGTTTCATCTGATCTGCTTCCACTTTCATCTGATTTGCTTCCAGTTTCAACTGATCTGCTTCCACTTTCATCTGATCTGCTTCCACTTTCATCTGATTTGCTTCCAGTTTCATCTGATCTGCTTCCACTTTCATCTGATTTGCTTCCACTTTCATCTGATCTGCGTCCACTTTCATGTGATCTGCTGCCTCTTTCACCTGATCTGCGTCCACTTTCATGTGATCTGCTGCCTCTTTCACCTGATCTGCGTCCACTTTCATGTGATCTGCTGCCTCTTTCACCTGATCTGCGTCCACTATCACTGTTCGCTGTCCAATCAACATCATCTAAGTCAAAGCTGCCAAAATCCTCTTCACTGTTGCGGATTTCACCACTCCCAAAACTTCCTTCATTTGCTAGAAAAGATTTCATTAACAATATCAATTAAGCTTATAGACATCTCTAACATAACTAAAAACCATACAAACAGATCAATTATTAGACTGTTGTCATGGGTACAAGGCCAAATAACACCATTCTGGCATTCTATGTCCAATATGAAGTGTTGATCACAGAAGAGGTAAATTATGTATGTGCTTATTGGACATACAGGACTTCTGATGTAGGTAACATTCCAATACTAGGAGACTCAGGGGAGATTTCATGAATGTGTACAAAATTATGAACAATTTTCATGATAATAAAGTTACCGCTAGGATATTTGACCCATCATATCAGTGCCAGATCAACACACAAAATCTTAAGGAAAAAATACTGTAGGTTGGAAATTCGCATATACTCTTTTGGACCCAGATTGTGTTTGATCTGTGTGTAAACAACACTGGGACACATTTTGTGAAAATATGTCCAAATTAAAAAAAAACTATAAATGGTGGACAAAATCATAAAAAATAATCCGATTTCTGGTTTCTGGTTCACTGTAAGGTGATTTGATCTTCCAACAGACTACTTGAACATGTACATGGTACATATACCTCAACATATTCCTATCAGGAATCTCATGGACATTTTTAATTTCCACCAAGCTGCATCAAACATGATGATATCAATTTCTCTGTAGTGAAGTTTCTATTTCTGGACAGCAACGTCATGATTGTCATGCAAAATGTCAACGACTAATACTAACAATCCCTAGATTTGATGGTTCCGTTATAGGTACCTGCTTGTTCTTGTTCTTATATGTGAACTTGCCAATGAACCGTCCCTTATAGCTATTGTAATGGATATGGGTCTAGGTAGTTTCTCTTTTTATCGTTTCAACATGTTAGTCATCATACACACATTTTATCAAAGGAAACTTGGTTTTTTGGTTCTTCAGAAAAAAGTTATAAGGGAATATCTAATATTTTTAGGTCACCTTGAGGCAACCGACCTATTGCAATCCCCTTTTGTTCTATGGCGTGCGTCGTAAAATTTTAACATTTTAAACTTCTTCTGGAAAACTCCGGAACTGATTTCGATGACATTTTACAAAAATATTCCATGGTTAAAGGTGCATCAAAATTATAATTTCATGACCCTGGGGTCTCACATATCCCCCTGGGGAGGGGGTAAAGTTTAATGTAGTTTATAAAGGAAAATCACATTTTTGAACATTATTTGTTTATTTTCTATTGGAAATAGTTCAAACCTTGTTAAAATTATTAATTTATGATGACAGTTTCATGAGATGCACTTATTGACCTTGACTGACCCCAGGGGCTGTTGGGTGGTGCCACAAATGGGTAAAATTGAATTAATTTTTTTTCTCAAATCCCAGGTTTTTAAGAATCAAGTACTCTTCATGGATGGCAAAGCTTTCAGATGCTTTACCAAAATTGTAAATTCCATGACCCCAGGATCTCACATTTCCCACTGAGGAGGGGTACAGTTTTGCTATAGTATACTTCGGAATATTACATTTTTGAGCCTAGTTCGTTTATCTTTAAGAAATAATTCGAACTTGTTTAGAACTTTTTTTAATTCTAAAACCCGACAGTTTGATGAGATGCACATATTGACCTTGACTGACTCCCATGGGCTTTTGGGCATGGACAAAAGTGGGACAAATTTACCGATATTTCAAAGATGTTCTACTGTTCCTGGATGAAAGATTATTAGAAGCCTTAGCATGGGACAGCAGTTAATGTATACACAATTTACACTTGTATTGTGTGTACGATATAGTGAAAGGTATATACCTTTTTTAACACTTTTTATGACATGTTGTTAGAAGCGTTGTAACTCAGGTTACCGTCAAGGTTCTTGGGTATCTTTCTTTTCTTATATGATACGTATACGCGTCTGCGAACAACTGAACGGGAGAATGTCTCCCAGAGTTCAATGCGATAAGTGAAGAACGACAACTCTGTAAGGGAGTCTAGTTTAACCGTTCATACAATATGCGCATGTCACCAAATCTAAATATTCATCAATGATAAATACTTTCACATTTTAAATGTCACTTTATCAACACAATAAAATCAGTACCTTTGCCACACACGTGGTGCATCAATGACTGAAATAGGCACAGGTAGGACGACATTTGTTCGGAACATCTCTTGGTTTTCTCCTCGCACGCCAAAGCTTCTGCTTTCATCCTGAAACATGATACCCGTATTTCTTAGCGTAATAATAAACCAAGGATTTATATTGAACAGTAAATTTTTATTTATTTTTGTGTAGTATTTCAAAGTAATGAACTTCACGCCACTAGGAGTACTTGTGTATATACACCTACGTAGTCACAATGAACTTGTAATACCCGTTCATGGCTACATAACTTTACTTAGGAGAGCTGTTGATACTGATGTAATTACAATGACTTACCTTTTGCTATACATACCTGTTCATACTTGTATGATGATACAACGTTCTCAACTTTACTAAGCCACATATTCATATGATTACAGTGTACATACTTATACTATGTCACTAGGCCTGTGTTATTACAATAAGGTACTTAATCCTTTATATAAAGAATACATGGTCAGTATCTTGAAATATAAGCTTTATTTTGTCTTTCTGGTTTTTTTGTTTTGTTTTTGTTAATCCTGCAATGCTGATTGAAAATCAGACTACTGAAACTTAAACAGACTTGTTGTTCAATCTGTGTTTACCTGACATTGACGTTACGCTGAATTTTGCCTGATGACGGACGCCGAAGTAATTGCTCCGCGTGGAAACATAATTCCAACCTTCATCGGATATAACAGCGATTTTATGAATTTTCATAAATAAACTTTTCATTACAACGTGTAAAATCGCTTATTTCAACAACTTTTCATATTTCTAAACGTAATATTTAAGTAAATTCAGATAATAATTCTGTCGAATTACCGCACGTGCTGAAATACGGTTATTTTTCACTATATTGGCAGGTGTATTTGAAAACACAGTTGAAGGATAAATTTATATAGTGCACAGTACTTAACTAGGTTGACTTGTTCATACCTATGTAGTTACAATGTACCCGTCCATACTTATTTAGATACAAAGTTCTTACCTGTACTAGATTTACCTGTTCATACCTACATAGTTACAACGCACTAACCTTTACTAGGTTTACCCATACATACCTATGTATTTACAATGTACTTATCTACGAAATAACAATGTACTCAATTTCTTAGTGTGCTAGTTTATGAAGTATGTAACTACATGTAAACTTTGTTGAGTTATATCTTTATGTAATTTTCACTCATTGTAATTGTACATTTATATTGTTATTAACACATTATCAGTGCTTGGACAGTACTATAATTGTTGACATCAGGATTCCTTGTTCAGTCAAACAACATCATATATATATATATATATATATTATATATATATATATATAAGTATATGTGTTCCCTTTACGCCAACTTTCTTAAAAACACATATGGCAGTTGGTGTTGTTTTTACCATTTAAGTCAACAAAATTGGGGCACCTCATGGGGGCTCTGGGGAACAGCTACTATGGAGTAGTTACCTGTGACTTAATAATATTTAGCCATAAATGGGGATATTTTCAGATTTTGAATTGAGAATTAAATTGAAATGTTAGGAAAAAAGATTTTTTTGAATGGTATATTATTTAAATTTGAGGAGAAAAAAGAATTATTTGAAATTTATATTGTTCAATAAAAAAAAGAATTATTTGAAATTTATATTGTTCAATAAAAACAAAAGAATTATTTGAAATTTATATTGTTCAATAAAAACAAAAGAATTATTTGAAAATTATATTATTTAACAATAGAAAAAAAACATTATTACTTATCACACTGAACACTCCAAGCCAACTGCACTCTGTATAAATACAGCGACTGCATCATACTTTATATTCATACTTTCACACCATTTATTGTTATATTTAGTTGTTTTAACTACTGTAGCACAGATTATAACTGATGATGAGAAGTCCAAGTTGATAACCTGAATACTTATCACACTGAACACTCCAAGCCAACTGCACTCTGTATAAATACAGCGACTGCATCATACTTTACATTCATAGTGAAACACTCATATCAAGTAACATGGCAGACGCATAGCTGAATTTGAAGTTCGTAATTAACAAGAAAGGGGGCCAGAATTTAGCCTATAATGGTTTCATCTACAGAATTATACGCAGAAATGGTGAATACTCTTGTCGAGGATCCCTCTCTGCCCTTAACAACATACCAGTTGCTTTTGGAAGACAGGAACACAACCATCCAACAGATCATGCAGAAGTTGTGGCACAGCAGATCAGAAACAGCATCACCAAGAGATGCCTTGAAGAAGTCAGACCCATACCAACAATATACGAAGAAGAACTCCGCAAGCTCCGAGATGAAGAATGGGATGAAGACTGCAAAGCGGTGGTACAGCGACTGCCTACCTTCAATACAGCCAAGTCGTCACTCTACAGAGCCCGCCGAAAGGAAACTCCTGCGCTACCAAAGACTCTTTCTGACATCAGACTGGAAGGGAAGTGGACAGAAACATCAACCGGAGACAGATTTCTTCTTTTTGACGACGGAGACCAGCAGAACCGAATTATAGCCTTCGCCACTACGGAGAACCTACGATATCTCTCAACTGCCGACACATTCTACTGTGATGGAACATTTTACACGTGCCCGAGCTTGTTTCATCAGATCTACAGCATCCATGTGGTTATTGATGGAAGGATGACGCCAGTCGTATTTGCGCTACTACCAGGAAAGAGTAAAAGAATCGACACTCGACTGTTTACCCTACTCAAGGAACACATGACTCAACTGTACCTGCCTTTCGCCCCAACCCATGCATTCGCCGACTTTGAAGTAGCAGTACACAACGCCATTCGCCAGACATTCCCAGGAATCACCATGAAAGGCTGTTTTTTTTTCCATTTGATCCAGAGTGTATGGAAAAAAGCACAGACAACTGGACTGCAAACTCTATACCGGGACAACGAAGATGTTAGGGCCCTTATCCGCCGTGCAGCTGTTCTACCACTGGTACCCATGGACTGCATAGAAGACGTATGGTTACAGACACTAGAAGATCTAGAAGACGCTGAAGTACCACAGAACACAACACCTTTCACAGACTATGTTACAGAGCAGTGTGTGGAAGGAGATAGGCCGTTGTGGAATCACTTCCAAACAGATGGACCACGAACAACAAACAACCTAGAAGCCTGGCACGGGAAACTAAAGAAGAAGGTGAAACACGCTCATCCGAATATATTTGCCATCATACAGACATTCAAGGAAATAGACAATGCCGACGTCATCAACAGAATGCAGAGAGAAGCTGGAGGAACCACCCGACCGCGTGCGAAGAAGTACTGCAACATTGACCCCCGCCTTACAACACTCAAAGAAAGATACGGAAACGGAACCATTGACCTGATGACCTACGCTGATTCAGCATCACATCTACTTCATCTTGGATAAATAGACTCTGTGCTTTATGTGAATATTAATTAGTGCTACATACGTGTTGTATGTAGTATGTAAATGTTGAATTTAGTGCTACATTATAAAACTAAAAATAAAAAAGTGATTTCTGTGCTTAATTTAAATGATAATATGCTTATGAATGTTTATTAATTGTAATCTTCATATGGTCTATCATTAATGTCATATTAATAAAATAAATAAAATCTATTAAGTTTATATTATGTCTGAATTTCTTATTATTCAATTATCTTGAACAATAGAAAAACAATCCCTTTGATGTTCTGCAGAGTTGGCGTAAAGGGAAACAGCCATATATATATATGCCAAACACTGATTAGGAGATGGTTTCCCATAAGCTTTAAGCTTGTTATTTAATCCTCTTGTTAATATTTGAATTATTTCAATAATATTTACATGTCGAATCTTTGATAAAGCATTGTTTAAACTAAACTAAGATAGAGAGTTTTAAATATGTCAGTCCCGAGTGAGAGATAACGTGTTTTTGAATGTTAGAAATATACCGAGTGTGTAAATGATAATTAAGCATGGTCAAAATCTAGTAAAAAATAAATGCTTTCAATGGCTTACCGGCATATGTGTTCACGGGGTTTCCCTTTCAAACTGACCGCGATTGTGACGTACTTGGCGTAAGACATGAAACAGGTGCGAGCCTCCTGTTTGTCACACTCATCCGCTGAAACACAATATTAATGTGTTGTTTGATTGGCTATAACTATAAACCATACTGGACATTAGAGCAGAAATTATTATTTAGAAACACACACACACACACACACACACACACACACATATGATTGAGCAATGTAAACATAGAAACAAGGTTTATTCAAGATGACTTAAATAGTCTGTATAATCTGTAACAAGTATATATTGCAAAAAGTGAACATCAAAATTAAGTAACTTCTATTGTTTCACGTTTCTCGGTATAATTCACGTTTCTCTATATTCCAAATTTACAATCTTTGAAAGTACCAGCGTATCTCACAGTTCCCTTTGTTGAAGATAAATAATCTTCCTATCAGTAATTCCTGTCTTAATATGTAGTGTAGGTAATCGTTCACAGTTTTCAGTCAATATCAATATTCTTATACTGGAAATGTTCTATTTTTGCGCCAATTGATATTCGATGCTGGTAATTGCCTTTGCTCGCCTCTTACAATGAGAACGTAACATTACTGACTTGATTTACGCGGCAGATGCTGCAGATGAAGAAAAAGACGCTTACTGTTCAGGAGCGCATGGCCTTATCCTATTGTTTGTACATTTTTCAAACGACCTCGTTTAATCTAATCTTATTTTAGAGTGTTTCGTTTATGTCGGCATTCGATTAATGTCTTTCCTCATTATCAACAAACACTAAAGGCTGGTAACTTAACAACTGAGTGATGCACTTAAGTAAGAACAACCGAACCACCGGATGTAATGATAATTATTAGATATTTTCAACATACACGTCAGCATCATTCATTCAATCGTGAAGTTATAGATAGCGACATGTATGTTATAAGTGTATGACTGATACTGTGACTACACAGGAAGAGAAAAAAGATGGCCGCCGGGTAGGAGGTGTGGTTTTAGTGCTCCTGGTATTTTCATTTTTTACCGGCAAACCAGTGTTTTATTCAAAGAAGAACCTGTGGACATTGTTTATACTACCCCATCTAACATTTGGCCAGTTTTGAACATCAAAATTATCTACTATGGTAGAGAAATTCTCTCAAAATTATTATTACACAGGTCCAGTAGGACATCCGGGATGTTAAAACCTCCCCACACTACCCTGACTAAATGGATGACTGATAATGTGACTACTCTTGACTAAGTTTGATCCGTATATTGTAGGCGTTGATAATTTTGCTGTATCTCATTTTAGCGCATTACTATTTTTCGCAAAAGGTACTTACGGTAAATAAGATCACCGCTTAAATTTATACGGTAAGAGTATATTAAGGCGTTTTCAATATTTTCTTCAGAAGATACAATAATCAGGGACATGATAATTAATTAAGGTCTGCTTAATCAGTTTTTACGTTTTGACATTCGATTAAAGCGACACCTTCTAGGTAACGTGAGGTTGATATAAGTGGCATTTTTCGCAGATTGCTGATTTGTCCGTCCAAAAACGGGAAGTGTTCTATATCCTTCTGACCAGACAAGGACAGTTCCCTATTCACATAGATTTTAACTAATATTCTCATGATCCGGTGTTCATACACAGAAAATACTGAAGAAGAAAATTACATTTAACACTCTACCTTATACAGACTGTCTAGCGGTTACAAACAAGTCCTCACACCCACACAACACAAAACTGATACTACCCGGGTTTAAAACTATCAAAACTGGTGAATGATTATTTTTCATTCTTGTCAAACAAAAGGGTATAAATCTGTGTAGAGAAAAGTACGACGTATGCGTTATAATCCACACATATTTACCATCCTGATCAATTTTGTTGACGACATCCATACAATAAAGAAGTTCTCGCAAGAACTTGTGAATGTCTATACTACTCTGTGAGAGAAAGGCTGAAAGGCTTCCCTTTAAAGTAACCTTTTGGTAAGAAGTCAAAACACTCTCAATGAGCAACACAGATTTGAAAAACGGGAATTTTACACCTTTATAAAGTAGGTCAAATTAAATGCGTTATTCCTTAATTCAATTTTAATGATAATATTTTTGACAAATGTGATATTTCTAAAACGTAATATGAGCTCCTCCTGGCAGATTGAAACTAACAAATAAATTGTATAGAATACTACACCTGTCGTATACACCAACACACTTTCAAGATTTTGTAAAAAGTCCAGTCGGCCAGAAATCAGGACAAACCATTAAGTGCATATTACTACTGCAAAGGTTTTTATCACGGCATCTACCCCCGCCCCACTCCTCCAATTCCTCACAGCCATTACATAAATCATTTTAAAGGCTAATTCAGCTTATTAAAAATTTAGTTTTGTGAATTTTTGATGGAAGAACTTATGGTTAGCTGCATATATTCAAAACAACATACTGTTGGTTCTTACAAAATTTGGGGGTCATAACGGGGTGGAGGCGGGGTGGGTGTAGGGGGGTTGAAATAGACGTTTGAAAAAAAATTTTCGTTATTTTCTTTTTTAAGTTCTTTTCAATTTTTGAGTGTGAATTTTATTTTGTGTGTGTGTTTGTGTTATCTGCAAGAATTAAGTTGCAGAACATTGATAAAACTTATCTGCATTATGGTTCATTACATTCCCATGATTTATTTTCACATGAAACACTTCAAACTATTTTTAAATTCCCTTTTAATCAAGATTGAAATACCTTGACTGTGCCAATGTACTTATAGTATCAATTGATGGAGAGGTGGTAAACAGACAAAAAATAAGTTTAAGATCTTCCAAAAACTATTATATGTAATAAGACCATTTGAATTACAATATAGTTTCATCTAAGTATTTTAAACAGTAAATCACAGGTTATATAATTTTGTATTCAGTCAATTCACGCAAAAAATCTATACCGAACAGTCACGAAACTTAACTATTCGTGTAAACATGTAAATTAATGAATAGATCAACAGAATATATATCTGAAATTATGTTTCATGTCTGGTCGAAAAACGGCATGGTTAAACACTTTCTATGTAGATACGAGAGAGATATATATACTATAATACGTAAGGCGACGAATAACAAAGTATTTATAAACATTATTACAACTTTTTATCCCACTAATTTTCATCTACATTAAAAGATACGGACTGTTAAACAAGGATAATTTATGTACATGCATGGTATTTTTATTTTTGTTATTCTAAATGACACTCTCACTATCTGATCGGAATTCTTTCAGTATGTATATTTATATATACAATTAAGAGAAGGCTATTGATTATTAGCAACAGAAAAGTACATTTTCTACACCCCACCCACAAGCAATGACGTAATTCTGTGATGTTAATTATGCTAAAATGATGTAGACAGACAATGGTTCAAAAGATCCGACAGATGATAGAATTCAGCTACTTTTAAAAAGGGGCTGTTGTTATGACACTTGAAACTTTAATGGTGGCTTTGCAAAACTAGTCCTTCTCAATTTTCTTTCTGAGGAAATTATCGCAACTTATCTTAATGTTGCGTGAAATGGAATGACAGGTGTTTTAAAGAAACTGGATATTTTCTCTTGAGGTAGGCGGATTACTTGAGGACATCAAGGGCCAACCTGTTATCAAATATTAATTTAGTATAGGGATAACCTTCATATCATAATACATATCCTCAATATGTTATTTTATACCAGACCGTACTCAATAACTGGTTGCTTTTAAACTGAACACAATGCTGAATAATACGTTCAATCATTTCACATCCAGTAGTACCTCATTCCACTACTTGACAATTTAATTATTTCTTTATTAGATAGTTTATCCGTTTGAAACATGTTTGAAGTTTATTTTTAGTTGCCTTCCAAATAAATTTTAAGTCCTGTAAGGACTTTGGGAATTAAGTGAATGTTTCATATTTGATATCGTGTAGATGATATAAGATATTTATCAAATAAATAATTATGCTTCATACAATAGCTTGATCTAATAATTAAGATATTAATGATTCGTAGAACTTGTACGTAGTGTCTTCACCGGCCTTTCGGTGAATTACAGACAGTTAACAACTGTACTGACAAATTGACTTAGATGAATGTAACTTCTTACATTGCAACAGTATTTCTTGTATACAGGTAATATCTACGAGTTTGATGTTCGTTAGTTTGCCTGTTGGTTCCATTGTTGTATACATTGTTCTCATTTGGGAACGTGACATTACTTACTCGGATTGACCAAGATTTACATCGCGGTGTAAGCAGAAGACACTTACTATTACGGAACATCTGGTCTTATTCTCCTTATTCTTGTTCATTATTCTCTGTGTATGTCTTTCAGATATTCATATTTTGCACCGTTTTTATTGTATTTCAGTTTGTATTATGAT